GAGCCTGGCAGCAAGCCCCTGGGCCTGCCTCCCCCGGCCTCCGCCACAACCACCTTACCTCAAAGGACTCTCCCCATGCCCAGCACGACGAGCACAGCTGCTGCGCCCACCGCCAGCGCCGCCCCAGCACCCCCCGCCACCACCGAGCCCCCCGCCGCTGCTGCCGCTGAGGCGCGGGTGCCCACGCACTCCAAAGTGGGAGGCTCCAGGGACTCACTTCTAGAAATGAGCACATCAGGTGTAGGCAGGTCTCAAAAACAGGGCGCCGGAGCCTACTCCAAGTCCTACACACTGGTGTAGGGCACCAACCAGAGACCACCCGCAACGGACGCTGCTCGTTTCCCTGCACCATTTATATTTAATTAACAAACTTGTACATAATGAACTCTTTTGTATAAATGAAGCTATTTTCTTCTTCTCCGAACAGAAAAAGAAACCAGGGCACAAAGAATTTGATGTTACAGATTTAAAAAAAATATAATATATATGTAAACATATATATATTTCACATCATTTTGAAAGGGGCACAAGGAAAGACTCAGCGACTTTTCCCCCCTCCCCCCCTGATCTTGTCGGTGGTTTTAAAAAGGAACGTCTCGAAGACATTGCATGCTATTTTACTGTTCTGAAAACAACAGGAGTTGCTTCAATTTGCAAATGCTTATGTGTTAATACCTTTTTCTATGAAAAAAAACCCAGCGCTGTGTGCAATAAAGGTTATGTTTATATGCGGGTGTCTGTAAAGTGAGCAGGGCGGTAGGCAGTGCCAGGGCTAGGGCAGGACGCCCCAGGCAGACAGAGAGGGGCAGCCCAAAAGTGCATCCAGGCAGCCAAATCCATGCCGCAGGAGCCCAGAGGCACACAGCACCAAGCACTGCCCACTTCCCTACCAAGCTGTGCCACCCTGCAGAGCCCCAGGGCAGGAGGAGGGGAAGGGATGGGAGCAGGGTGTGGGGAACAGTAGCACCAAGCAGGACATCCCAGCAACTGCCAGGCTGTGACACAGCACCCACAACCCCAGGTGAGCAGCACCTACTTACCAATAAGCCCAGGCCAGCCCTGCTGAATCGCTGGTTAGCTCTAGCCCAGGATGAAGCAGGACAGTGAAGCCCAATCCAGTTAGGCTGGAGGGGTGAACTGTGGCACAGACCCTTGCGAGCCACAGCACGGCTCCGGTGCAGCACATCATTGCTCTGGCAGTGCAGGGTAAGCACGGTGCAGCTCTGGTATTGTGTGTGAACACGGTGAAGCACAGCGACTGGCTCACAGCAGGGCTCTTGTTCTCTGCCACGTGGCAGCACTGCACAGTACCGCACAGGAGCAGGAGGTGAAGCATGGCGTGCTTGTCCTCGGTCACAGCTGAGCACAACAAATCACAGTGGAGCAGTGAAGCACAGCGCATCATGGCGAAGCACAGCCGAGCACGAAGCCCAGGGAATCCAGCACCGTGCCATGAATCATGGCATCACTGCCTCCCGTCATGGTGAATCATGGCACAGGACAGCAAGACATCACACGGCTCCCCCAGGACACAGGGCATTGTGGCACACTGAACCGCAGCACAGCTCTGCCAGGTCACAGCACAGTGCAGTAAAGCCCAGTGAAGCACAGCACCGTGCCCCACCTTGATTTGGTCTTATTTTCCTCTCGGCTTTTACCACCAGCCATAGCAATTAACCACCGAGGACATGCAGATTACACCTTCCCTTTTCCTACGTGCACATCTGACAGTGAAAGCAAGAGCAGCTAGAGCTGAGGCAGGCAGCCTGGGGCCAGCAGCCTTCCTTACCTGTTTGGCTATCCCAGGAAGACAAAACCAGCTAAGGCTGTTACTAACAGTTGTTTTAATTACCCAAAGTAGAACTTTGCCTTCCAGAGGAGGTTCTGGTCTTATTTGAAGTCCAAGTAACTAACTGCATTTTCATTTCCTTATTTCCTCCAATTTATAAGCTAGTGTTTTCATCACTTCTCCATCCATGCTTGTTCCCCATGGGCTCCATCTCTTCTTTCCTTACAATGAAGGAATCAGCTTCCTATTGTAGCTTAAACTAGCAGTTGTAACTTCTATGCAGAGATTTTTAGCAGTCTCATTTTTTTCCTCTTGACAGAAGTGCTGTTTTTAACACATTGGTTATAATCAAGTGCTACAGAGTTAAAAAAAAAAACAAAACCAAAAACTAGGAGAGGTATTACAGGAACCCCAACAATGACATGCAAATAAAGTGATTGGTGTTACTGGTGAGATTACCCACAATTCCCATTTCCAGCATGCGGTTCCATTACCTGCTTGTGTTGTCACCCTGGTCAGCAGATCCTCCTTTGCCACCTGGTTCTCACTAACATAACATCTCAAATCCAGTAGAACTCAAAGTGTCTTGGCAACAGCCTGGCAGCTGCTCACTCTTGGGGCTCAAGAAATGAGCCATTATGACAATTTGTATCAGTTTTGGCGATTATTCAGGTAACACTCAGAGCCAACCTCTGCCGAGGAGCATCCTGCACACAGAGGAGTATCCTTCCCAAATAGGCTGGTGGGAAGGCATCAAAGATCACACTCAATACCACAAATACCTGGGTTGATGTGATGTTTCTGCACCAAAATCCCCATTGACACCTTGCTTCTCAGTAAAGCTTTCCTTAGGGACAGATGGAGTTTGCTTCTGGTGAACCAGGACATTGCATTTCCTCTGCCTGAACCGCTGCTTGAGTGGCTCTGCCTCTGCCAGCAGGTTCCCACACTCTCAGCAAGATGGTCTGGGTTACTGCCCTGCATCTGGAGCCTCTGGTTTTGGTGCACTGAGGATTCATGTCAAGAGCAATCAGCCAGCCTCCAAATCCATGCATGAAATAGGGTTAGGCTTCTGCAGTACTTGCTTTGGGGTTTTGTTTGCTTTGGGTTTGGTTTTTTTTAAATGAATCCCAATGTCTGAATAGCCTTTACTTCTATGCATGAGTTTCCTTATTCATTCAATTTTAACAGGTTTTTGGAGACAAAACCATGGTGAGTTTCCAATTTCACATGCAAGGAGTGCGTGGATTTTGTACAGCATTTGCACACAGAACATGAGCAAGGCAATCAAATGCTGAAGATCACGCTATGTGGCTCTGACAGGGTCTCTCTGAGCCAGAAAGAGCTTGCTTGACTTACTTTAAAGCCAGTCATCAAGGGAAAATACTGAGGGGCCAGAGAGGCTGGGCAGCAACTCAGCCTTTCACATCATCCTTGGAGTCCTGGGAACCTCCTGGCCACATGGCCCCTCACACCCTGCCGGGCAGGCTGCTGCCATGCACTGATGGGCTGACGACCCTCTCGCCACTCCAGGGCACCCATGGGTCCACACGGGAGCAGCTGCACGTCATAGCCCACATCAGCTCGTCCAGAGATCTGTCTCGCACTGGTTAGCATTTGCCTTCAAGCCAAGTGAAACCAGTCCTGCCCCTTCTGTCTCTCCCCGAGATCAGTGGAAAGTGATGACAAGAAAACCAGCATTTCTCAAGCATTTTTCTAAGGATTTCAAAACCAGTTCAGTGCACATTTCACTTCCAAACCTTTACACAGTAGAGATTTTTAAGACACCCAAGCACCCATGCCCATCTCAAAGCAGTATCACAGCTGGGCAACCATGCAGCACCTGAGACGCCAATCCCAGACTTTAAATAGAAGAGGCAAGAAAAGGCAAGTGTTCTCAGCTGTAAGAGTAAGTGGATTAGCAAAATAAAAAGAACAGATTAACACAGATTAATACGTCTTTATTGTAATTGGCTAGTACAGATTTCCTTCTACATTTTAGCAAGCATTCTCCACCTTCCCTTCCCCAGCAGTTCCAAACGCTGGCCTTGCAGAGTTTAACAAAGTCCAAGTTTCCAGCACTCAGCCATGAGACCCCAGTATCCCCCCACTCCCAGTGAGCCCACTGCCCTTCACCATGGCAGCGGGTTCTCCCCACGTTGCTGCACACAGTAACGAACCGGGAGTTGAAAGAGGACAGTCAAGTCAAGCCACGCTAGCCAAACTCTGCCTTCAACAGGAAGCAGGCAAAAAAGCATCAGGCTCAGAAATCCAAAGAGCCAGTTTGGTTTTAGGTCTGCTTTACCAGCTGCCTTGCACAGCACTCCAGGCAAAGCCCCAGACACCACACTACATGCACCACACACCTCCTGACATCAGCTAGCTCAGGCTGCCTGCAGCAGAGCCTGGCGGCTCACACCACTGCAGAGCGACAGACCAAACTGTTACCAGCCCTGCTCTCCCAGTGCACCTCCAGAGAAGACCCAAGAGCAGTGCTGGATGCCAACCACAACCGGCAGGCAGTAACTGAGCACGAGCAGAAGCCAGACACCAAACACCAGCACTCACAAGCCAAAGGTAAGTAGGGGCAGCTGGGGATGGAGCCCTTGTAAGAAGGGCTGAGGACATTTGCAGCTGGAGAAGACAGAAAGGGCTCTAGGGGCATAGCTCTGCACAGAAAATCCAGTATCAGACCCAGCAAGGCAGCAGTGGAGACCACACTCAAGCAATCAGAGCAGCACCATTCAGTCAGCAGCTCCTCTGCACCCTGCTCCTTCCCACAGAGCACCCGCCATGGGACAGCACACAGCACCTCCTCACTTCAAACTTCCTCCTGTTTCTGCTGGCCCAGAGCTTGGTGCTTTTGTATTCCCTCTCTCTCAACAACTCTGCACCCTCCAAAAGCCAGCACTTGAAAACAGGTGTTAAAACCCAAGACAATCTTGGGGTCCTGTCCCTGCCAGACCAGGACCAGGTCTCTGTTCAGCTTTGCTGGGCCAAAATACCAGGACAGGGTGGCTGGGGGACAGCGGGCACTAACCCAAATGCCAGAGTTAGCAGAGGGCCGTCTCAGGAAGGAGCCTGACCCAGCAGAGAGCAGGTTCAGCCTCAACACATGCAGCCACAGAAGACAGAGTCCACCCCATCCCTGCTCTGAAACCAAGGCACCCCAAGCAGTTCCCCCCCACCAAGAAAAGTAAGATTTGCTCACAGTCAGAACACAGCTCAGCTCCTACCACCCTAGCTGCCTGCAGCATACCCCCTCAGTGCCATCCCACTCCGGGCCAGCTCCTGGACACGGTCATGCTCAGCAGCTCAGCCAGCCAGCCGCCTGGAGCAGGGGACAAGGGCAGTTGTTCCACTGCAGCTCCAGAGGCAGAACAGAGGTGGAGGCACAGAGGAGGACTATTGCTGGGCAAAGCCAGCCTCAGCTGAGCAGCTAGCCAGCCACAATTGCCATCAGCTGTACAGGACCCCTCCTTCTCCCCTGACATAGGTGCTGGACTTAAACTGGCTGTGGCCCAAGGGCCAGCCACCACACAGCTCTGGGTGCTGCCACCAAGGAAAGGCTTGTAAATGCTGTGCCACTCCCTGGGCACTGAGGTCCCAAACAGCCCCTCACCAGTGGTAGCCTGGCCCACAAGGCAATGGTGTCTAGGGAAGGACTGACCAGGAAAGAGATCTCACTCTGAGTGGCAACCAACACGAACAGCAGAGTATCTACAGCTGCACATGCACCAGAAGCTACGTTATCAGGGAGCGGGTTCACAGTCACCATGGCTGCAAAGCTCTCTGGGATACCAAGCAGACAAAAAGGAGGGACAGTGCAGGGCACAGGTGGCCGACACGTCTACTTCTTCTCCTGCTTCTGCTGCTGGTATCTCCTGAAGTGGGTCTGGATGGTGACGGCCGCCTTCTCGGAAGGATCGCTGAAGAACTTGCTCTCGCTGCTGGTGTCAGGGGTCACATTGCCTGGGACAACAACCCAGCATCACAGTGAGCACAGGCGGTGCCAGTGGCCCTGAACAGGCTCCACTGAGCAAGGCAGGGCTCTGGCATCACCCCCCCCACGGGGTCAGACTGGACTCTGCATACCCCAGGCTCCCCATAGATGGGAGGGCTTCCCTCCACTACCAGAGCCGAAAGAGGCTGGAGAGTCCACAGCATGAAACCATGACTCCACTGGCTCACGGGCGCATCTCCAGGGCAGAGGGAGATGCAGCAGGGAACCGGAGGCAAAGAAAAGCCCAGCCTCCCTGGCAGCACTAAGCCCTCTATTTACACAGCTTTGCTCCCCAAAGACCTCAGCTTCCCCACGTTTAATCACCAAGTATGATGCTCACTTACTTTCACACACACACAAATAAGATTAGAAAAAAGGCCCAGCACTGTACAGCAATAAAGCTCTCATGCTGACAAATGGGAGCCCTCCCCACCTCACACTTAATGTTGCATTAGGGAAGTATTGTGAAATTCAACAGGAACTGAATCAAAGCCACTCAGCAGTGCTCCTTTAAGCCAGCGTGTTGCTGCTAAGCACCCCCCGAGCAGCCATCAGAAATCCTGGTGCCAGATGCTGCTATATAAACTCACCACTGTCACCTGAACTCAGTTTTAGTCACATCCTAAAAGAAATTGCAAAGTAAAAAGATACCTAAGACTATACACTAGGAATCGGCTCCCTTCTGCCCTGCTTAACAAGATCCATTGTCAGCTGTAAATCCTACCCACTGAAAAAAAAAATAAAAAAAAAAAATCAAACCCCAGAGGCTGGGGAGCCACAGGGGCATGTACCACTGTACGTTTGCAGGAACGAGACCCCAGCCACGCGGGCTACCGACAACTCAGCAAGAAATACACCTGCTGAAGGAGCTCGGCCATGGCCAGGCCCATCAGTAACGCCCTGCTGCTGCACCAACACAAGTGCCACTGCCAGCCCAGGCAGCCCCGGGGACCTTCACCTACTCACAGGGCAGCAAGAACCCCCAAAAAAGAGTGATGAGGCTGGCCAGAGCTACAGTGCATCGAGGAGGAATGTCTCAAGTTCAGCACCCTGCTCGCTCTGCCGCAGCAGGCAGTTGGCAGCACCCAGCCCAGTCCCGCGCTGCCGGAGCATTGCTTCACCCGCCTTTATCCGATTGCCACCCGAGCTGTGCTGAGAATAGAAGTGCTCAAATCCTCTTTGCTGAGCACTTGACTTCAGCAGAGGGAGCAGAGTCTTAGAGACAAGAGGAAGGAAGAGGAAAAGGGGGCAAATTCAGAGTGCTTTTGCCAGGCTAAGGAGAAGAGGAAGGGGGACTGTTTTGGGGGACAGTGACCCATGCAACTCAGTGGGGCAGGTTTCATGGGAAGAGGGAGGCAAGGATGCGTGCGCACACACACACAGAAGTGTGCTGTTGTATATTCACCCATGCAACAAACAGGGCCTTCACTCGCTGATACTACAGCTTTTAACAAACATCCCGCCATCCTGTCCATACTCACATGCCCTCCCAGGGGCAGCAAGAAGGGCACCCTCCACAGGGAGGAGGAGAATTGACTGAAAATACAGTACAGCCAGCAAGCCATAGGCTGGAGAGAAAGCCATCCATCCGAGAAGGCTTTCTTCCCACAAAGCTGATTTCCAAAATACCCCTTGATAATGTCAGAGACAGATTTCTTCGGAGGAAACAAGAGGCCAAGAAGGGTCCAGGTACTGCTATGCCTGCTCTTTTGTTGCATCCCACAGTCACAACCATGAGTTTCCCCTACTATGTGGCAGGGCTGTCTCCCTGCGTGCTCCATACTCACCTTTCTCTCCAGAAATTGAGTAGATGCTGTTATGCCGAGAGCTCCTGCCTTTCTACAAAGATAGGGAACAAAGATACAACAGAGTTAGTTATATCTCAGGCAGAGGCAGCAAGAATAGCCCCTTTTGGGCCAGCTGGGAAGCTCTGAAAGGGACAGGGCTAGTCTCACCAAGCTTTCCATTATCCATTCCCTTTGGGAAACTTGAAAATACTGCTGTTCCCTTAAAGAGCACTGCAGAGCACTGACTAATTAATTTGCATTTGTGAAAAGTCCTCCAAGGAGGAACAGAAAAGAGCTTTGTATCAAAAGTCAGATCTGTGAGATGTGCCAGTAGCACCTTTGGACGTACATTGGCACAGGCTAGCCTCACTAGATCTGAATTTCATAACCAGCATGGAACCAGACTTGCTGGGTTCGTTTCCTCGACTCCAGCCCCTACCACAAAACTGCAGCGCCTGGGATGTCAGGTCTGCTAGGGGATATTTTCATTCCTAAAAAGCAGCTTGACTTGGTCTACAAATACCCCTCCTACGTTTTTTCAGCTTGCCCTGCTTCCTAGCATTACCCTATTTTCTGTTTTGCAAGGGAAGGAGGGAAATCTCTCCCCCTTCCCAAGTCTTCTGTTTGGTCAGTGGATGCTGGCTGCTCCTTCTGCACCAGGCACTGCCATCATCCCCCACCCAGCTGCCTCGGCTGACCGCAGGCAGAGAAGCCAGCCCTCACCTCGCTGTCCCGGCTGGTGCGGCGGCTCTGTGTCACACACTGGATCTGCCAGGGCAGGGGCTGGTACACAAGGTACGGCAGGGGCTCTTCGTGAAACAAGCTGGTCCCGAGCTGGACACAGAAAGGATTTGCAGCAGTTGAGGGGACAGGAGAGAAGCTGAAGAGCAACAGAAAGAGCTGCTCCTCCATATGCAGTAACCACAACCCATGGTGGCCTTGCCAGTTGCAGTGATGCTCAGCGTGTCTTCCCAGCACCATGCCAATGAGCAACTCTCACAGCACAAAGTAGTGGGGCTGCAGAGATCACAGGTGATGCTGAGGCCACATGGCTCTGCACGAAGCATGGGTGGCCCAGACCTCCTGCCCAGGGTGGCCTGGTTTCAGGAGGCACAGGCAGCCATTCCCAGCAGGGCAAGCAGAGACCTCTGCCTCCTCTCCTTGCCCCAAGGTGTTTTTGGGGACAGGGAACGGCAGAGGGCAGGAGCTGGTCTAGAGACCACAGGAGGCAGCGCTCGGAGCTCTGCTGCAGGCTCACACCCTGACACCGGGACAGTCACTATCACCTGCATCACACACCACGCAGCAGGGCCGGAGCACACCGCTGCGCACTGCTGTGGGACCCTGGGGAAGGAGCTACAAAAGCCAGAGGTGCAGTCAGCGGGACGAGGAACAACTGCCTGTCCTCAAAGAGTCAGCCAGGCTGGTGACACAGCCCCTGGCCAGCCTAGCAGACATTCCCACTTTCCTTCCTCTCCCCAAGAGAAAGCAACCCTAGACGAGGGAGGGTTGTTCTTCCTCCCCAAAGTGCTCTGAGACTCAACATGCACTTTCGCAGCTCTTGCTCGCCAGACTGGGAAGCCCAAGCCCCTGCACTTGCTTCCTGCATGCACGGGCACAACAGGGAACCGTGCTCTGCAAAGCTGCCAATACACCTGCTAATGCTACGATGACAAAAACTCACACGTGCTCCCAAGCCAACACTGTGGGCAACTTGCCGAGGACATGCAGACCCACTGGGCTGCACACTGCTGCAGGGGCTCACGGCACAGCCACAGCTATGCTGGAGTAGGAGCTGGGGCATCCCCAGCCCACATTCCCCACTGCTCGCTACCTTCCCTAGTAAGATAACCCACACATTTCTAGAAATAAAATGGAAAGCAATAAATCCTACCTGCTGCCAGGCCAGCCCAGACTCACCTGCCCAAATGCTCTCACCACAAAGAACAGTGCTGTCATCAGGGTCGCCAGCATGGCTGGGGTGGCCAAGGGGCTCCCTCCGTCCCGGGAAGGCAAAGCTCTCAGAGCAATGCACAGTGGTCTCCAAATAGCCAGTGACTGAAGCGTACCTTCTTCAGCAGGCAGAGACCAAGCCCCTTAATGAGCTTATGGCTCACGTTCCTCTTGGCAAAGTAATCGTGCACTGTCCTTTTGCTCTTCTAATCACTGAGTTTCTCCAACATATACGGTACTGGCATTCCAGGAAAAGCAAATCCTCTTCTCTACGTACATACGTAGGCCAGTGCGCACGGACACGCAGGCACACACCCCACACCTCGGACCCATGAGCTGGGGCAGACCTCCTGGGCTTGGGACCGATTCTCGGGAGGATTACAGCTAAGCCTCCCACAGCCAGCATGCACCTACAGTTCAGACTGGATTTCTCAGAGCTGCCCCGTGCTCTTTGCACAGCAGCTGCCTCAGGAGTGGGGTGGGGGACCTGCCCCCAAAAGCACCTACCTAGACAGTGTGCATTGCTGTCAGAGACCTCCTCCAGTAGTTCTTATCGCAGCTCTCCAGCAGGCAAAGACACCCAGGTGCAGATTATGCACAGCAAGAACTGGGGTGATTCAAGGTTTGGTGGTGGTTTCTGTTTTGTTTGTAAGGATGTGCCTCTAACCATCAGCCTCCATTCCTGCGTGACCAGCTGATTCACGTATTGTTCTTCCTGTGCCTCTTCAGGCCTCCAGCTCCAACAGCCTTCCTCTCTCCAGCATGTAGAGCAGCATTCACACTCCTTCCTTTCCAGCCCTCCCTCCGCAGGCAGATCACAACCTTGCACAGTAGCATCCCAGACTCTGCACATGTCCATGTGCCTCACGCATCCCTGAACCACATTTGGCTTTTCTGTTGTACCAGTAGCTCAGATCACATGATCACCCAGAGTCCCCACATCCCTATCCACCTGAACCTAGGATTTCTGGTGAGCAATGCACTGTGCAGAAGAATCAGAGCTGGAAAAATAAGGGCAGGTGCCAAACTTCCCCTCTCCGCATCCTTGTGGTCACTGGTCACATTACCCATCCGCAGTTTCTCAGCACTGGAGAGTCCCCAGCCAGGACACACGCGGCAAATGCCCCATTTGGACAGATGCAGCCTTCACAGCAGTGCTTGGAGACCCAGGAGAAGCCGAGTCTTTCATGAGAGACTAAAGGGAAAAAATCCCAAAGGGGCAAACATGCACAGCTGGGAAGGGCTGCTATGGGTGTCCCAGGGCTGCTAGAAGGAGGCGAGAAGAAGAAAGGAACAAGCCATGAGAAGAGAACAGCACGTCACCAATCCTCCCTAATTTCTAGCAAGACTGTTGTTTGGTGAGCCCACGGGCAGGACTCCAGCAAGCACACTGCTGCAGCAGCAGCACCTGAACCACCACTTGGGGGAAAATTCCCATCTGCTCTGAAATAAATGGAGAAGTCAGTAGCAACCGCCAATCTGCAGAGTTAGTCAATTTTAACACATCCCGAGTTGCTGGAGAGCCACTCCGGAGCAAAGCCCTGTTCCCAGCCAGCGCAACACAGTTCTTCCCGTTTCCCAGGGAAAGCTCCCCACCTGCTCCGGCAAAGACCCCCGCACCTTCACGCATCCCGTAGGCAGCCCCTCCCTCAGTGCCCAGCCGAGCCAGCTGTGGACCGCTCCTGCACACAGCCCGTCCTCCAACCTTGACATAAAGCTCCAGAGCAAGACAACTGTTTTAACAAGACTGGATGACAGTTTTATGAAAAGGGCAGGATATGAGCCCATGAAAAGCTGTCCTGCTGGCTGAAAGCCCCATGAAGAATTGCTTTTGTAGTTCTGTTTTTTAGCTTTCTATCTGCCCCTGCATTTGCTACCCTGGCCAGATACTTAACAGAATAATGGTAATAAAGCCACAGTGAGCTGAAGTGGTCTTAGAAATTGCCAGACATGACCTTGACAAGACAAAACACGAAACAGCCCAGAGAGACACAGGGAAGGTGTGAAAGGTAAGTACAAGCTGGATATCTAGGCCTACAACAGAACATCTCAACAAGAAAAAAATAGAGCTACAAACATCACCATCATACAAAACAGGCTCATGTTGATTTAATTTGCATACACCACCAGATACAGCTGCTCTCACAGGTTTTAACAGGAAAAAGGAGCATGTCTCAAACCAGGTTATTGCTATGAAAATAGGCATTTCTCCACACTAGTAATACATGTTGCTCTGAACACACAGACTGGACTCAGCCACGTGGCTTTGGGCACAGCATCCACCAGGCTGACAGCCTCCCCATGCCACAAGAAAGCCAGAACCATAGGGTCCCTTCTAAAATAGATAACTGTGGGCATCTAAGGTCCCCCGACTCAGTCAGCACTGGTAAGAGCTAGCTAGGATTTCCTCAGCAAGGACACCAGTGGGACATTCTCGTCTGGCAGTGCCTGCAGAAGGACTACGCTGTGCTTTGTTAGTGACCAGAAGGTGGGAGAACACAGACTTGACCAGAGGATCAAGCTGTCCTAGGACAAAGGCTGGCCAAGTAATTAAAAAAATTCTAGGCAAATCAGCAAAAAAATATATACAGACATTAACAGTTTTAAAATGATGTTCATCAAAAATATATTTCTATTTGCATGTAAACATTCCCCTGCCACACTCACAGTGTGAGCTGTTGTGGTGTTGTGCCAGTACACAACACCCGGGAAGCAAAGCAGGAGGGGGTTCTGCTTTACTCTGCTGCACATCATTAGCCACACTGAGGAACACAAACAGCACAAAAGGGTGCAGAGCAGCAGCTTTCCCAGCCTCCCTGCATCAGCCGTCTCTAAGGAGAAGGGCTTTGAAGACGATTTCTCACAGACGGGATCCCTTGAAGTGCAGGCTTCTTCCGCAGACAAAATGGCAAGTAGTTCAGCATTTTTTAAAGCATAAAATATTTAAAGTCAGCTTGGAGGAAATACTGACAAAGACAACCAAATACCACATTTCCCGCTCAGCAGTACGAAAGCTGAGTTACATTTCCCCGCCATCGGTTAGAGCAGCACCCTCTGCCCCCTCCCAGCTCCATGCACCCTGGCAAGGTGATAACATGCTCTGGATACAGCCTCTGCAGAGGAACACCACTGCAGCCACCTGGTGAGCAAAGCAACAAGCCACCGTCTTGCAGCTGAGGTCCAAGAACATCCTGACACCTCAGCCAGGTTTCTGGCCATGCAGAGCCCATTTCACCACCTCCTGAGACCTGCTTTCCCAGGAGCACAGCAGAGCTGCCGCAGGAACAGCAAGACCAGGCTCCAGGCTTGGCACCAAGGGCTCCCATCTGCCTCCCCAGCCCTGCTGCGTGGAAGGAGACCCCAGCTGCTGAGCCAAGCTCCGGATCCCTCTCCCCAGGGCATGGAAGGACACAGGCGGGGCTTTGTCTTGACATTCACACTAGGCCAAGTTCCTTCACAGCATCTGCACCAGCAGACACCGCCCCACACTCTCTTGCCATCCCCACTCCACATTGCCATTGGCACATTTGTAACGCAGGAGAAGAGCTCCCATAGCGCAGCTACGCTGCACAGCTCCGGTTGGCATGGCAGAAAGAGGAAGCAGGGAGCTCTTTTCCAAATCTGCCATGAAAAGCCACTCCTGGCTTAGCTCCTATTGCTTCCACCCCAAAAGAGAGGTACATTTCCTGAGAGTCAGAATCTGCCATTCCCCGAGCCTGTCCCCATGCTCTACAGCCATTTCACTGTTCGTTCTCCCCTGTTCCCACATATGTCAGAGGCCAGACGACTTGGCCCACCTGCAATTAAGCATTGGCTGGGCATCAGTGTGGGCTCATTTCCTGACACATTTCCTCTAGCAGAGTCTCAGCTGGATTCACATCCTCCCCCTTGACCAGTTACTCAAAGTCCTCCATGATTCACAGCTCCAGCTCACGATTGCTAGAATACTAATGAGAGAACTGTTGATTTATTGAAGCCCTGATATTTCACCACTGGATTAAACAGTCTATAAAGTATATTTGGACACATTACGGGATTAGAAGAATCCACCTGGGAAGTTCATTTCTTCCTTCCTCCACTCGCTTGTAAAGAGACTTTATTTCAAGGGCACAGCACAAAGACACAGCTGAGATGGCTGGGCATCACTGAAACTCAACGTATCACTAGGGAGACTGCACAGGCCCCCGCCACCATCTCTTCAGTCCCATCTTTTAGTAATGGTACAGTTTAATTTGTCTGTTTTCATCCAGTCCTAGCTGAAGTAGGTTGGGGCTGCTGGCAGGGGGCTTCTGCACACCTGGGAAGAGAGGTCTGGCAGATGGGTGAAGGAAAAGCCTGGCTTACACAAGGAATTAGCATACATGAGCACAGCCAGCAGACAGGACAGGTACTGAGGGGCAGGAGCCAGCCTTGTGCACACATGCTGTATTTAGCCTGCTGCATTCAAGTCAGATGGAATTAAAGGGGGATTAAGGAATTCAAAGGAGCACCGTGCTCAGGACAGCATGCGCTATCAGAGGCCCAAGGGATTTGCTGCTAATATCAGCACACGCTGTAGGAGACGCAGACAGCCCCAGCATAATGCTGTTACAACACAAGCCTGGAAGCATCCCCGCTAATAGCACAGAGACATCTCACTTATTTGATCCAACCGCATGCTACAATGCGCCTCAAAACTGAGCTGGGGGGAGAGCTCCACCAGGGAGCCCTCCCTCCCCAGTCGCAGGGTCGCCCCACACGTCACCTCGCAGAGACACTGCTCCCTCATTCCGGGCTGCTCAGCAGGGACTGCCCGTGGCAAAATCCCCAATGCGGCTGGGGCTGCCTCAATGGCACCAAAAGCAGGCCTGCAAGACTAGGCCCCCTACTTCCCTGCCTCCTCCATTCTGCACTCTTTTGTTAATTTTTTTAATTTCTCACATTACCAGCTCCAACTGCTGTGTATCATGGCACTAAAGAGCATCACAGTGCAAACAGGGAAAGGGAATAGACTTTCTTGGACAAGTACAGCTCAAAGAAGAGCAAACAGGTCACTCATGCTCTAACTGCTAAACACCATATTCCTTTGCAGAACCAGACACTAAATTAGAGGCTAAGGCTTCAAAATTGCTGTTCAATGCTTTAGTGCTCCTGATTCACTCGCCTCCTGCCTCCACCTACCTGCTGCAGAAAGCTGGAGTGCAATTAAAGACCAGACCCAGGCAAAGGATACACTTTTGAACCCCTCTTGAAATCTTCTAGCCATTTCTTGTTGGTCTCAATCATTCCTTGAATACTCATATTATCTGACTCATGGCTCTGGAACTGGGAGTGCTGGAACATCCGTATTTGCTCACTGTTGCACATGAGAGAGAAAGAGACAGCACAAGTGGGAAGAGAGAGGTCTAGGCAGAAACAATCCCAGAGCTGAGAAAGAAAGTGATGGGCTTCTACAGAAAGAGCCACAGTTAACAGAAAGCAACCTCCTCTTAGCTCAAAGTCTTCTGCCCAACTACATCATAGAGAAAAGCTGTAGCAGCCACCCACTGTCAGGCTGCTGTCTTCCTTTCCATCTGTATAGGTTCAGAAAGGTTCAGGTGGCAGCCTCCACTCCATCCACCCACACAGCATTGCCCATCACAGCAGAGCCAGTGCAGCCCAATGCCAGCACCCTTGGACCCTGGTCCTGGAACGAGGGTTATCAGCACAACTATGATGGCAGCTTTCCTGTAGAAGCTACAAGGCAGTGTTGAGCATGTGGCAGTGAATAACTAATAGTATCTAACTTGTCTACTTATTATGTAGGTTATGATTTTGTTATCTACTTTTTATACAATACATGACCTAGAAATCATTCCAGAGAAGTAAAAGCAGCACAATGAAACAACAACTCAAGGAACAAGACCCTTACTTTGCAGGTATGTATCCCAGCTTGTTGTCAAGAGGCCTGGAACTTCCACCGAGTGACGGGAACCCACCTGGAAAACAGACATTAAGTACGGGGCCGCCCAAATCAATAGTCTTTATATCTGGGTGCATTTGCTTTCTTGTACTATGGACACACTGTCCCTACAAGCTGAGCCACCTGCTGAGGACATAGCAATGTTAAGGAAACAAAGATAGTGAACCCTATCTGCAATTCACAGGAGGCTTCCAGTGAAGCAGGGCTGTCTCCTCTTTTGCTCTCTTTTTTAGTAAAAACTGCTTTCTTAGGCGCATATCAGAGGCTGAACTGCTCCAGAAGCAGGATGACAAGATCAGCCATATGCTGCACTTCCTGGAACAAAGGTCTCATTCCTTATCTCATTAGCACCCTTCCTATCAGCAGCACCAGTGGATCTAGCCTCACCAGCATTGGAAGGCTGAGCTGGTTAGAAGTTGCAGGGCTGTGAAATCAAAAGTCATATGCAAGCAAGCAGATGGATTAAGGATAGGAGACTTACCTGGGAAATACTTGCGCCATTTCTCTGCCAGCATGCTGTCCACTGACTGTCCAGCTGTGAAAGAGCCACTAGAGCTCAGCCCAGTGCTCCAGGCCCACTGGTCCACCAGTGACACCCCAGTGGGGGGCGCCAGGGAACCACCTGCCTGAAGTCCTGCCAAGGAGGCACAGGTAGGCAGAGGAACACTGTCACAGGGCATCGAGGTGAAGAGTGGAGACTGGCGATTGTTCAGAGAGCCCAAGACACCGAGGACCCCGTTCAGTTCACTAGTGATACGTTGCAGAGAGTCTGTCAAGTATTGGATCTTGTCCAGCTGGGGGGCAGGCCGTAAATCAGTTGTCAAATCAACTAGCATAAGAGGGGAGAGAAAAAGGGATCACTGGGAAGGCAAGGGAGACACTGCCTCCCTGGCAGAAGACCCACTTTCCACCATGGGTTACACTCCGAGCTGAGTCTGATCAATCTGTGCTAAGTGGGGTACAGAGGCAAAAACCTGGCTTTGCGGCCAGAGGAAACCCTCAAGTTTCACATAGAAAACCCTTAAGTTTCATGTTTCTTGACCAACATGCAGATTGTTTACTGATCAGGGTCAGAGATGATCCCAGACTGGACAGCTTGTCCATCTGTTGCCATAGGGAAGCTTTCTATGTTTTCTTTAAGCTTCAGCCTTGCCAGCCTTTCTGCAAGCAATACAACCCTCCTGCCTTCCTGACTGTTTATGGGGAGCCCTTCTTCCCACCTGCACAACTCCAGTTACACACAACTGAAAGCAAACAAAAAAGCACAAGCAGCAGAGGGAATTGCAGCAGCCTCTCCTGCCAGAAATGTGAGGAAGAAGCCTGGACACCTGCAGAAGAGCAATACAGCTCTGCAACAGCAGAGAGGGAAGATCTGAAGCCTGATTTTATAATCTGCTCTAAAAACAAAGGTAGAGATTTAAAAGGCAAGTTCACATACAGATTCCATCCCTCTTACCTGCCAGTACAGGCAGGAAATAAGTTTTTCAAATCAAGTGTTACATGCAGAGCAGTCTGAGTCACAGATAGCAGACCTGCCTTAGACACTAATAAGCACAAGTGAGAACATCAGAAGGTACATCAGAGGCACTAGGGGGAAAGCCAGAACTAGGTCTAAAACATATGTTGGGCACAGTGTATCGAGCCAGTCAGGCACTTACATTTAGGCTGACGTAGATTTACACTGGATGTGCTGTTTGTGTCCTCAGAGTTGCTGAGATCAAAAGTCACCACCTTCTTGCATGCAGCACTCTTCAGCGTATCTTCATCTGAAAGCTGGTCAAAAGAAGGAAAACAATGCAAATAAAACCTGCTCTTCTGTCCCTGAAACATAAAAGTCACTGGAATACTGCCTACAGCTAGTCTGCACAGACAGGCATCGGCCAAGTGAAGGCAGACTCATCTTCAGTCCCCAACAACAAAATCTGAAAGTCAAGAAGACTGCTCAGTCTCTGGAAGCAGCACAGGTAGGCACTAGTGGCCAACTAATAACCATGTGAAAGGGCCCTTCCAGGCAGAAGTCAAAGCGTTTTGTGCTTTAAATAAGCCTCAAAACTCTCGTGTGGGCTGGGTTCTCTCTTTGCACCGCAGAGAAGTGCTTGGCCATTAAAGGTCTCATGCTTTCCTATCTGCTGCTGCCCTGCCTAAGGCCACATGGTCCCAGGCAGAGCTGAACAGACTCCAAGGCTTGCCTTGGTCAGGAAAGCAGACTCAATCCTAGCTCACATGAGGTGACCTGCCCTTGTTTTCTCTAGGCTCAAATCATGTGGCTTTTTCAGGTTGCTTTCTGTATCCACTCTGCAGCCACATGCTTAACAGTGAGTCCAGATGTTATCAGCAGAGGGAAGGCACATTATTTGCCACCTTGACCAAGATACAGACAGTTAAGACTACCTCTAACCATTCTGATGTGAGGTTTTAGTTTATATTGTAGGATACTTCAGCATATCAGTATTAACAGTGATTAATTTCCAACCTAACAAGCAAGCTTCTCACAAGCCAGTGCACTCTGCAGGTTTTCTCCACCCAAGTCCATTGCTGCCGCAAGCAGCCCTGCCTGGCAAGCCACCACCATGGAAGAAAGTCTCCATCCCAAACCCCGGCCCACATTTGTCCTGTGGGCAGCAGACCTAGTGAATCACAGGGGTCCTAGTCCAATTAGGTTTGTCATTCTCTCCAACTTTGTGACTAGCCTTCTCTTCCACCATTCTCAGACAGACACACCATTCTGCTCTCAGAGAATGTGTTTCTAAAACCCAGCTCTATTGGCAAATGCCTGTCTTTGGACATCACCTAAACAGCCCTCATGGGGACCAAAAGCCCTGCAGAGACTCCAGCCTAGGGGAGGATGCCAAGAGCTCTGGGCAGGGTGGAGTACAGCTAGGCAGGCCCAAACAGCAGCAATGCTGGTGGTTACCTCCTCCAGCAGTGAGGACTCCAGCTGGCTTAGTTTCTCTTCCTTCTTCTTCAGCAGCACCTGTCCTTTCCGCATAGCCGACTTCATCGCGTCCAACTGCTTTGCTTCCTACAGTGGATCAACAGGCAAGCCAACGAGGAAAACAAAACAAGAATGACAGGAAATAATGTATATTGGTTAGGGTGACTTTCATTATCTCACAGGAAATCATGCTGCTGGAGTAAAGTTGCTCCCAAGTCTTCAAGAGCACATGAAGCAGAGCATACAGAGGGCAGAGCACATGCCTCTAAGCAAGTTCACCCCAAGGAAAAGGAGGCTTCACTTCCAAACCCTGCATGCAACAGGGTCAACAGCTTTGGTTCTGCAAATATGAATGCTCCCTATAATCCATGGAAGATATTATCACCTTCCCTGTCTTTGGTTGGCATATCAGCAGAGCTGATGAGTACTCAAGAACCCGTTTCCAAGCAAGAGTGAAATCACTTTAGAGCTACAACCATAAACTTGTACCTACTGATGGGATGGATACCTATCACTTCCTTTACTATGAGGAGAAAAGGTTATGGGATTTGCATGACACACAAATCCCTTTTTCCCCTACCTATACTTTCTCCATTTTTCAGGTCCCAAGAGCTCCAACTAACAATAAAGTTCCTGCAATCTAGCAAGCTACTGAGTGCTGGCTGCACTGCAGCAACTGCTTTGTAGAGCCTTCCTAGTCCAAAGCACACGCAGCAAAACAGAACTGGAGCTATACTACCATGCAATGCTCTGTTAGCTGTGGGCTATGTGTGCACACATAGGCACTTTTGGTCGCTCATCTGATGCACAGTAACATCACTGTAATCCAAAGCCTAAATTAGGTTCTCATTAAGCCTGTTCCTCAGACACTGCATTTGCACCATGTTCCTGAAGAGCTCTCAGCCTTCCTGGAGTAATCCACAGCCAGTCTGAGAGAAGGACTCTGACCCTTGTGTTCTGATGAGGAAGACACAAGCAGGGACATATCTATCATAAAAGATGTGCAAGACCTGATTTCCAGGAGGATGGAACACCCACAGCTGCCTGTCACTGCAGCTGCACAGCCAGGAATCTGAATCCCAGGGCCATGGATTCATTTGTGCAGCCACAATGCCCAACACCTGAACGCAGGCAGCGCTCAGGAGCTCACCTCTTCCAGGTTCTTGCGCACCCCCTCCAGGAGCTGGGAGCTGTCGGGATCCTGCACCACCTCCTGGGCTTTCTGCATATCTTGGCGCCACTGCTGCTTTGCAGCTTTCAGTGCCGTGTGCCTCTTCCTCATGGAGTGGGTCTGGCGCACCAGGAACTCCTTGGCATTCCTGATGGAGATCCCTTCCGCAGAGATGTAGCTCCTGACGCTACACAAGAGACAGGCGTGCTGCTGGCTTTCTGTGCTGACTGTGCCATCCTGCAAGCCTCATGCAGCACCCTCCCCAAAAGCAGATTATCAGTGCAATGCAGGTAAACCCAAGCAAAAAAATTTGCCTGTAAAACCAAAGCAAAAACGTTTTCCAGCAGCAGCTGGCATACAGATACTCACTGGTCAAACTGGAAGTCACTGTCCTCATGGCTTTGAGAGGGTGGGGAAGCAGGCTCTCTGGATGAGTGCTGAGGAGTTGAAACATTTCAAAAATTAAGAAACATGTATGGGAAACAGAACCCCAAGACCCCATAAGAATCCAATTAGGAGCAAATATTCAGAATGACATCACCATGGTATTGCCGAGATCCAAAACCAGTGCCAGGGATGTTTTGTGACTTCAAAAGTAAAAAACACATTTCTATCCCTGACTTGAGCCCTGCTTTTGACTCCAAGGGCACTCAAGTATCTTGCACTCCTTTCCCACCCCCCCGGTAATAACAGACAGAAATCAACAAATACTACTAAACATATTGATGTCCCTGGCAAAGAAAAATGCATTACTGCATCTCAAACAAGTTCACCCAGAAGGAACAAAAGCTCGGATTTTCAAGGGAGTTACAGCCTCAGATCTCAAGGCAAGCACCTTTACAGTCTGCTTTACTCACAGCTTGAATAGTTTCTCTCAGGTCTTCAACATGGAGCTCAGCTTTCCTTCTTGGAGATTGTACACTTTCTTCTGCCTCCAGTTCTTTCAAAGTCTCCTGTTTGCTCCTGACAGCTGCTTCCAGCTCACTGCCACAAGAAGAAGCAACAGTGGCAGCACCTGATGAGACAGCAGGTCTGTCTAGCCCAGTAATCTGTCTGCAATGGTGTCCAAAGTGACCTCCAGTTTCCAGAAGGGAAAGGGCCACAGATGTGCAAGAACACCAGTATCAGGTCTGTGGTGTGATGTCATTTTCCCTGCCCAGCCAGAGGTTCATTGCTTCACACCCTTACCCAGAAGCTCAGCTGTCTTATGAAAATCTTTCCTTTGCATTTCAATGCCCTGCTCAAAACATCTTATTAACCTCTTAAGACAAATGCAGAGACAATAAACAAATGAACCTGACAAGCAAAGGCAAAGGGACAAATCTACACAGTGAGTTATTAATAGATCTGGAAACAGACCCTTGGACCTCCGTGCCCTTGACATGCAATAAAACCACCACTAGGATTCTGAATGGATGTGGCCCAACGTACAAGAAGCTCAGAGGTAAGGGAAAGGTCCAGGTTAGGTTAGAGAGGTTTCTGTTAGGGGTATAAGGTAAATTTTGTTTTGTATTCAAGGAAATTTGTCATACACACACCTGATGCGTTTTTGCAGCCTCTGGCTTCGGGTCTGCAACAAGTCCACCTGGGCCTCCAGCTCAGCTTTCTGGTCCTGGAGTTCTTCAAGAGACCTACGCAGTTGCCAGATGGACTCAAGGAGGCTGGCATGCTCCTTCCTGTTCTCCTCCAGGCGGAGCTGAGAAGCTAAAGCAGCTTCCTACAAGAAAACCAAAAAACCCCTCATAGCAATTTCCCCAACACCAAAATAAAAGGCACACAACATGCAAGAGCTTGCTACCTGCACAGTTCACAGGAGGTCCCAGAGCTACAAATGCACACCCCACACACCAATCCTGGGAGGACTGTCTCTTCTTTTTTGGAAACAGCTCAGAGCTAATCAAACTCCCAGCAGGATGGCACTCCAGGCTAAGGCAGCGAGGCATTTTCAGACTCACAGTTTAGAAGCAACAGTTTGTTTTTTATAAAGCCATAGTTCTAGCATGCTGCCCTCACCCCCAAACAAAAAGCAGCACTACACCTCCCCAGAGTTAAGACATACATACATCTCTTTCTAGCTCAGTCCGTCTGTCTTCATCCAGCAGCTGCTGCCTTTTCTTTCTCAGAGACTCCTCCTATATACAGATGAGAAAGTAGGTGAGTGTCAGAGCAAAGAGACTGCTGATGCTGAGCAGCACTTGAAGTAGAGGTCAGGCCTAAGTCTCAAGACCATTTCAAAATACCTGAGGTTTGTTGTCAGTTTTGCTTTATTCCCTCCCACACACACAGGCAAGTTCCCCTCCCTTTATTTGACTTCAAGTGAGAAGCTGGGAATATTTGCATTCCTGTGGGAAGAACACCCCTTCCTGCTTAGCTGCAAAAGTATTCAAGGCACATGGACATTTCTGCAGGATCTCGCTTTTATGAAGCCTCTGGTTGCCTCCAGCATTTCTCCACCTTTTTATTTCCTCACTTCTGTGCTGCTTGGAAAGGAAGGCCTGACTGAAGCAAGGTTATCTACAGCCCTTGGCACAGCCAGGACTTAAGAGATCTGGCAGGAAAGGGCATCAGCCAGTGGTTTTTGCCAGCTCCACAGGAGCATTCGGAGTGCTTCATTCTCCCACTCTGCTGCCCAAGATCTGGAAACCCTCACTCCCTTTTCATGGCAGCAGGGAGAAAAGGAGGTAAATCAGGAAGGGATTGACTAAAGTCTGAAGCGATGCTAAATGGAACATGCCACCTTGAATGATCCCTCTGCCACTCTCACAGCCACTTACTGTTTCCCAAAGCACTGAGCAAACCCAGAGCACTAACTTCCACTGCAAACAACAGCCATGAGGCTGTACCACTAGGAATGCTTAGCCCTGCTCTGACTTGTGATGGAAGTTTTACCTGTAACTTGGATGGCAGCAAAAGGCCCTGGCTGAGCACTTCTGAGAAGTCCTCCATAAGGGAGCAGCACAGCCCAGGAAACCTCCGCAAGCCCAGGAAACCTCCGCAAGCCCAACAGAGCTGACTCACCTGGCTAAGGAGCTGCAATGATCTAGCTTTGATGTTCTTTGCGCGCATTTCAAGCTCATTTTCTGAATCCTCGAGTTTTCTTTCCTGTCCAGAGATGTTGAGTTAGAGAATGGCACAAGTTCCTCGCTCACCAGGCAGAGCTCTGCCACCAGGAGGAACAACAAAAATTGGGAAACATGACCTGCCACTTGTGTCACCCTTGGCTGTAGAGGGTGGCAGGTGCACCGAGGTGTGTTGGCACCCAGGCCATCCCCAAGCAGCCAAGTCACAACCACCTGCTAGGCAAAGCATTCTCCTCACCTTCTCCCTGTGCCTGTGCTGCAGTGCAGTAAGCCGCTCATCCAGCTCCGCCTGCAGAGCCTTCACCTCAGCTTCATGAAGGTGTCGGAGGCGTACCATCTCACTTCTGAGGCCTTCAAACAGCTCCGCTCTTTGCTTTCTCTCCTGTTTGTTGCAAAATACAAACAAGAAAAGCAGCCGAGTGAAGCACACTGTTCTCCAGCAAACCAACATGAACACACAGGACACACCCTCTGGAAAGCCAGCCCATCACACAGCAGCTCCTGAGCAAACACTAAATTCAGCAGATTAAAACCTCTTGCTTACAGGGACAACATTGTCAAGGGAATGGTTCACAAAAGAAGAAACAACCCATGAAACTAAGGTTTTGTCACACACTGCTGACTGTAGAGTAAAAAATGGGAGACAGAAGGCTTTCCGGAATAGGCACCTGCAAAAACGTGAACAATCTTCTCTTGTGCAGAAGTCCACAAATGCATGTGGAAGTTGCCTGCACAGAGAATATTTTGACAGCTTATCCTTATACGCCCAGCCTAAATTCACTTTACATCATGGCAACAATACCCAGTTCTCCTAAAGAAAGGAGATTTCCAATTTTAGGAGTGGCTGAGATAGGCAGGTCTGGCAAGCAGCAGTGCCAGTCCAGGTACAGCCCAGCTGAGCGAGCCACTAGTCACTTCCCAAATTCACTGCTCTCCCCCAGCAGTACCTCCTCCTCATACTGATTCTGAATCCGTGCTAGGACCTCCTGGTGCTCCTCCTTCATCCTCTCCATTTTCCTCTCATGGTCTTTTTCCACTTTGTGGCGTTTCTCTCTCATAAGCTCGCTGAGCTGCAAGGATGACACGGAAAGATGTTTCTCTGAACTACAGTGTTGCACTACAGTGGTCCCCCAAGAAAGCAACCTCTCACATGAGCAGAAGGACTGAAGTTCAGAGTACCTTGCAAGTGGGATCAGGCTGTGGCCTGGGTAGCACAAGGAAAGCACCCTGGTGAGGCGAGATGCTGCAGGGGTGTCCTTTCCCCTAAGGCACCACTATCACCCCTGGCCAGGGAACGTGGCCTCTCAGACCTCACCACACATCCAAGGAGAGAGGGTGAAGAACCTTCAGCAATCCAAGATGAATACTTGCCTCACGTTCGTATTCTGTTACGTGATATGCTTTTTGCTGCACTTTCTGCTCTGCTCTCTGCAAGTCTTCACGCAGCTGTGACTCCTCGTTCCTCTGTGCCTCTGCTATCTGGGTTTGCAGGCTGGAAATGACCTGCCATGAAAGCCACCCACAGAGACTTGTCACCGTTCTGACAAGATCCATTTAGTGCCCTCCTACAGAGAGCAAGCAGGATGGCAAAGACCAGCGTGTGCATTATCACCACCCCCTACTTGAAGCGTGTCCAAATGCTGAGCCAGACCAGAAGCACATTTAGGAAGTGGAAAAAAATTAATGCCACCTTTAGTGAAAATGTGGGGAAAAAAACAATTTACATTCTAAGGACACCATCTTTTACCTTATGATGCTTCTCTTCTGCTGCAGATTTCAGCTGCTGGAGTTCAGTTGCAAACTGTTTCTCTAGCTCTTCTACTGCCTACAGGAAGACAAGCAAGACAGTCTGCTGGAAAACCTTTATGTGTGGGGACATGCTGTACAAGATGCATTTGCAATTAACATCCATCCATAAGCATCAAAAAAGCACAACAGTAACCCCCTTTCAAACCAGATTAGGTACAAGGTGCCTTTACTGTCCGTGTGCTTTCCCTCCCAGGAGATCTCAGTTGTGCTGTGCTGGAACGAATATGAACTGCCTCCATTCAAGAACTCCCCAGGCTCTCTGGAGGACTAAAGCAGCAGCCAAAGAGGTATTCTGGTCTGATAAAATGGCTTGGTTTTGTTTGGCAGAGACACACAGTGATCCTTCTCTTTTCTTCAGATGCCACGTGGCCCCTTAAATAATTGTTATTTAATCACCACTGTAACAAAAATCGGAGCAGTACTCCTCCCCACCTCAGTCATGCATCTAACAGCATGCCTAGCATCTTTCCTTTATGTTTTAAGTGAGCCACTATTAAAGCACATGCAGGTGTTATTTCACCTCAACACTTTACCATTGCAATGCAAGCCAGGTCAGCATGAACAGCATGGGTCTGACCCTAGCAGGCAATAAAGATCTCACCTTCTTCTTTTCCCTGTCTAATGTCTCCTTGAGCTCGCTCAGGAATTGTTCCTTCTCTTGTTCCAGCTCAGTCATCTCTTTCTGCTGAGCTTCCTCCATTTCCAGCTTCATTTTCTCCAAAACAAGCTGCTGCTTCCTCTCCAGGTTCTGCTTCTCCATTACCTGCTGGGATTCCCACTCCTCTTGCAGTTTCTGCAGCATGACCTCTTGCTCTGCCCTGGTAGGTTTGCAACAAGAACACGGACAGAAGCAAGTCAGATTTTGGTACTTCACCACTGGACTCCATTTAGGAACCAGAGCCAAGAGAAGACACTGCTATAGGATAGGACATGCAAGCCAGAAGAAACTGAGAACCACAGCACACAAATTCACAAGCATATCAACTAAAGCCTTGGAAATAAAGAGCAAAGCAGTCAGGTGGAGACCGATCTGTCAACTGAGTAAAAAAGAGATAACAAAATCTAAGTTCTCCAGTGTCTGCCTCCTCCAGTTGTTTCTAATGGCTCTTAAGACCTGTGAAGATACATCCACTCAAACCAAGCTATGCTGCCAAGAGCAGCCATCCTTGTAGATGCCTTTTCTGTCATTTACATGCCCCAGAGCTGTGCCTGGTCCAACGTTACAGCAACACCTCTCTTCAGGACACTTATGTACTCTATGTCCTATTTAGCAAAATTTCATTGGCTCCAAGGCAGCAGAGCTGTTACCATTAAGGACCATCAGTTTTGCCTTCTATCAACCCACAGCTCCCCTGCACATACAGCATCATGGTTAGGGCCTCATACTTGCTACCAAGGCAGGGTACCAGCTATGGGAGGCTCAGGAGGACCAGTACCTCCACTTTGAGCGGTTGCTGGTGGCATGCCAGCTGCTTCCCTCCCAGACCTGCAGAGTTTATGTCCCCAGGGTTGGTAGCAAAACTTTTCACCTTATCTTCTCCTTCTCTGCCTCAGTCTCCGAGGTGATTTTGGCTCGCAGCTTTGCAAGTCTCTCAGTTTCTTCCTTTCGGACACGCAGCTCTTCCTCCTCAGAAACCTTTGCCAAATCTTCTTTCAGAGTCCTAAGAGATGAGCAGCCAGGGGAAAAAAAAAAAAAAAAAAAAAAAAAAAAAGAAGGCTCATGAAGCTTTAATATCTTCAAATCACCTCCCCAAGGCCTAGAGATCAACTGCTGCTCCCACTAGCTGGGCCTGCACGAGCAATGCATTCCCAGGGCTCCAGAGCATTAATTTTCCTCCATACCTTCAGAACCTGACTGCTGGCATGAGACACAGCCCCCCTGCATCAAAATTTTGCAGCGGGTTTTTAAAATGCACTATATCATCATAGGTGGTACTTGTTTTTTGGTGTCCCCCCCCAAGTAAATGAAATCAGCTCCTATTAAATGAAAGCAGGCTCCCAGCCAAGGTACCTGGATGCATTAGTACATCTGTAAGCTTCATATTTTCATATGACACCTTTTACTACTGCTTTATTACTGCATAGACATGCTTCCCTTCAGGTACAATTTCTGTGTCTTTCTTCACACCCAAGACAGCATTCCCATGACATTTCATGTCAAGATACTGTTTCTGGCTGGGTTGGTGTGCTAAGAACATGACTATCAAGGCCACCTGAAATAAAATACAGGCCTCAAGAGAAAAATCCACCCAGGGAAAGGACACAGCTCCCAGTGCTGTTCTGCTCCCTGGATTGCTATTGGATCTTCACACACTGGCTGGGTTTCACAGACATCCATGCACTATTCCTTAAAGCCTTGTTTGGAAGTCCCTCTGTAAAACATACAGTACCAGAGTTTCAGATAGTTCCTCTGGGGTAACCTCATCTCCTCTAACGGTCCAATTTCAAGTCCTGTTACTACCGTTTAGCCCAGGATTTGAACGTCTGCCAGGTGGTAAAGCTCCAAGCACTGAAGTGGAAACTTTTCCCAGGTTAACCATCAGAGACAGGTTCAGAGCTCTGAAAGCTGCATATGTACTGAACCAAAGCTAGTCTTACAGGAGATGGGAAGATGCTCTCTTGCCTGTATTGGAGAGTGCTTTCCTGAGGCAGACTGCTCTCTACACACAACACTAACAGCAGATTGCTAGTCATTTCAAGATGTGTGGATCCTCATGCACAGGATTGTCTGTGCCAGGCAGAGTTCTGTACTCCTCCCCAAAAGCCTTGTTCTTGCCTCCTTTGCCCACAACTCTGCAAAGTAGCACCACTTTCAAGGTGGTGGCCTATGGCAGCACAAGCCTGTGGCCACCAGCAAGGAAATCGCAGCTAGGAAAGGCTCAGAGGATAAATAGGGGGGAGAGGGAGTTAAAAGAGGAAAGTACCTGAGGGATTTTTCTTTTTGCTGATGAAGCTTCTCAGCTTCTTCCTCCTCCTGCTGCCTCATCTGCTCCTGGAATTGCTGAATTTTCTCCTTCTTTGCTTGCAACAAATGCATTTTCTCTTGCTCAAGCTCCATCTCCATCTCCTTGGCTATTCCCTCCAAGGATTCTTCACTAGGCTGGTTCAACAACTGCTCGTGTTTGATTTCCTTCTCAGGTTGCCTACCAAAAAGAAAAAGCTCCTTTGGCAAAAGGGTGACAGAAAAACAAGTAACAAAAAGCGAGCAGCAACATCCCCCCAAACAGTATCAACTCCAAACCAAAAATCCCAGACCCACCTAGTCTAGAAGCTTCACTGTCGACAAAGGACATGCAGAATCCCCACTAGACCGCAGCCGCTTGTGGGTTGCTGTGGAGCCCTCACTGTTTCGCTCACGGGAGGTAAGGAACAGCAGTGTAGGTAGGTGGAGGGCACAGAGGCAGAAGACAAGCTCGCTACAGTAAAGCACACTTTACAAGGCTGTTGGGGAACATGCAGCACATGCTCAGGGTTTTGAGTAGCATGTTACCTCAGGTAACAGCTTGGGGATGCACCCACACACTGTGGTGGGCCCTCTTCTTGACTCCCACAGAAACTCTGACTGATAAAGTATTAAACCTAGCCCTAGCAGCACTCATGTCCTGAATAACTCATATTTTGGCCCACTAGAGCTACCCTTGTGAGGGCAACATGGGCTCACTTCACAAAGGATCGAGTAGCTATGAAACCCTGGCTTGGGCTGCCAGGCACAAAAGCAGATGCAATCAGTACCTGTTTTCAGTGCAGGAATTGGCAGCGCACTTCTGATGGACCAGGTATTTTTCTGCAATTGCAATCTAAAGTGTGCTGGGTGTTTGCCAGCTCTAGGCAACAGAAAGCCCTAAGCACTCCAAAAATTCAAACCCAATCTGTTTCTAATTAAGTTTTTTCATACAGTGAGCAGCAAAATTATAAGGTCTGAGAGAGGCTGAAGGGGAAGGAGGGGAAAACGAAGATTAGTATAGGAAAAAAAATTTTATTCTTTGCTAGTGAAAGCTGTAGCAGGAAGGTCTTGCTGTGATCTGAGACTGCTAGTGTAAGGCAGAGGGACTTCTGTTTTGCCAGGAATCGGGGAAAATACAGCCCCAGTAACAGAGCCTTAAGTCAAAAGAGAAAAGGTCACTTCCGCAGCCATTAGCAAAAAGAACAAGACAGAAAAAAAGAACAGTTGGGTTCTGGAAAAATCCCGCTTCACTAGTGCTCCCCCGTAACACTACATGCTCCAGGCCAACTGCAGAGATGCCTACAGAAGGTGTCATTTATCAGACTGCTCTGCAAAGCAATTCAGCCACGTCCACCTTTTTATCATCTTCTTCCTTTTGCCCCAGTTATTGCTTAAAAAGAGATCCAGCCAACACACACACACACTTACACAACTCAACACAATTCCTAATACAAAAAGGGAGATACTGTGCTGGTCTCCACATGAAAGATTGCTTCTCCACCACTTTGTCCCGAGAGACACGCTGCCTATTTTTTCCAATTGCATCTGCTGATCTGTCATTTGACATAGAAAGCAAAGTCAGCACAATCATTTCTACTGAGATCTTCTATCGCAGTGGTACGTATCTGCAAAGACCATCAATTTAGTACAGCAATAGTCCACTGACTTTTGCAGGGAGCTTGAGCTCCACCATCCTGTGCTCTGACCTTATTCTCTCAAAGCAACTAATGTTCCCACTGACTAAAAATGGGGTGATTTGTTGGGTTTTTGTTGTTGTCCCCATCACCCCCCCCCCCCCCCCCCAACCTCAGCACCACTCAGCAAGTGAACTCAGGAGTCTGTGAAAGCAGTTATTGAAGGAGGGTGAATGCTTAGAGCCTCATTAGCGACACTGGTAATAAGGAGGCTTTTCCAAACACAAAGCAAACAGCTCTTTCTCCATCCCAGAGAGTCCTGTGCCACAGACCCCAAGGGCTGAGCTGCTGTTCTCACCCTCCCCAGTACAGACTGTTCACTTGGCACTCTCACCAGCGAAACAGCTGCTCGGATTTGCATACGGAGATGTTCCAGCTCTGCTGTGCCCACCAAACCACATCTCCTAGTGTGCCGTCTTCACACACTAACTTCAAACACCACAAAGGGGAACAAAAGGACAAAAGCTGTTATGCTTACAATACCAGAGACTTAAATGAAGCCCTTACGCTTTCTGCGGGACAGCAAGCTCCTCCAAATTGATTAGGTTATCCAGCAATCCCTCCTCCAGCTCCTGGGCCACAGCCTCCTCCCGACTGGGATTTTCTAAAGCAAAACACTTCTCTTCTGGCATTTCACAAGCACTTTGATCCCTCTCACTTGGCAGCACAAAAGAGGTAACAGAAGACCAGATTAGCACAGATCAGAGTCTACTGGCTGCTGCAGGTAGACAAGACAGGGGAAGATGGGATGCACGGCTGACTTAAATGGGCACCAAACCATGCCTGCCAACAGGACCTGTTTGTCCAACATGGGGCTGCCAAAGGCACAGCAAAGCTCCAAACCATTCCCACCACCTCAAGGTCCGCCAGACTAACAGGCAGCAAAGGATTTAATGAGTGTCAGTCTCAAAATGCTGAATCCCATCCCTGGATTATTCCCCCCTCTTTCCAGGCCCTTAGAGAATTTCCCTAAGATAAGTCAAGCCCTACTAGCAATACTCACACTGTTGTCCAAATTACAGATGGAAATATTGGCAGGCATGTTTACATCTACAGTCCTACTTCACCTGGGAAGTACAGAGAAGAGAGACAAGGCAAGCACGAGCTAGCTTTAGAGGCAGAGAGAAAGAAAGGATGCACAGCTGGGAAGCAGGTACCAAGTGATAAGGAGACAACTCTTGCAGGAGGAACATGTTTTCGGGGACCTTCTCATGAACAGCTCCTCTAAGAGCCACACTGCAAGTCTAAAGTGTCTGCAGCCAGTCATTAAGATGGACTGCAGCTGCTTCTGTTCACAAGTTTTCCTGGCACAGGCAACAGCTTCTTGGTTCCTAGTGCCCCAGAGTATATGTAACTCTGTGCAGAGGCTAAGAGTTTTGACACAATTCATCTATAAACGGCACATGCTGCAGCTCTCAAAGGAGGAGGGGAGGGGCTCACTGCTCAGCACAGTGTTTCAACTGTTTTAAACAAGTCACCACAAACAGGCTGAAAATAGCTCCTCTAGACAGTCTAGTCCTCACAGTAGCTAAGGGTCTGGAAGCCAGCATTGCTCTTGCTTACACCTGGGCAACCAGTGACTTCCTCTAGGCCACCTCTATGGAAGGAAGTGGAAGAGAACTGCTGACATTACAGCTGGACTCTCAGCCACCAGTAAGAGGTACCAGGCTGGCCCTGGGAGCCTTCAGCTACAGGCTCTGCCTAGTGAAGAGCTGGCAGCCCAGCAGGACCAGCACTGACCAAACCAGAAAGGTCCGTCACAGGGCAACTGCCAGTGGCTAAGTCTTCCATGGTTAAAACCACAGGGCACACCACACAATGTTAACAGGTTCAGACCATCTTGGCAAGAGCGTGACTTTCTCAGCCTTAGAGAAAAGTCAGATAGCTGTAAGGGAAAGAGAAGCCAGCTCCACATCTGGGGCAGTCACAAGAAAATGAAAGACAGGCAGTTTTGCTGCCTACCCAGCCAGAAGCTGAAATGAAGCTGAAATCTGCTGAGGCAGTACTAAGGAGGTGGCAGGAGAAGTGAGAGGTTTAGTGGGAAAGACCCTGTGAGAAGCTGCAGCATCTCAGGGTGTTCTACAGGGGACACCTGTACAGGTTACAGTGACTGGAGCAGAGCAGGGGCAGACAAGACAGGAAAGTCATCTGGAGCTAGAGCTGCCCATGCCTCCTTTGTTGCTCTGACTGTTTGTACCATACCTCTCAGCAGCTTTTGTTCTTTTGCTTTGCTCTTCCTCTATACTGGCTTTGCTTTGGTCTTTTTCCTCTTCTCCCAGTTCCTGAGCCTGCAGGTAAAAGCAAACAGTGTGGAGTTTGCTGGCTCCTTCACCACCAAAGCCTCTCAGGACCTTACAGTGGTTCCGCTGAAGGGCACCACTGCTCTGGTCCAGCACATCAGCACTGAACCCCAGGACCAAACGGCATCCACAGGCTGCTCCAGAATGCTCAAATGAGTGTGCCAGCTTCCTCTTCTGCAGGTAACCAAGAGTCTCAAAACAGAGGAACGCCTTGCAGAAGCAGTTCCAGCAGCACAGCTGAGAGGCCTGGGAGCTCAGCTCTCCGGGTTGTGTCAGGTTATGGTCTGGGGGTTGCTTTTTCAGTACAGAAGATGAGCTCCCTGCCAGCACTAAGCACTTTGGACACAGGTTTGGTTTTTTTCCAAAGGTCATCTCACATATCCAAGTAACACTAAACTCCCTGAAAAGCATAGGACAAAAATCTCCTAAGAGAGGAACATCACACAAAACTAAAACAACATGCTGTGGCCATAAAGCAAATGGATACATTGGCTGTGACCAAAATCACAATAGGACTCAGTCCTGCCTTACATCCTGGTTCTCAGGCAGATTGTGATGGGCAGTATACACACAGTCTCACCTACCCAGGGATTTCCGAGTATTCACTCCACAACACATCAGTCTGGGTGCTGCTGAGGAAGCCAGCCCCCTCAGTAACATACTCTGAGCAACCTCAGTTGGCTTATTTATGACATAGTAAATACTTGAAATATGAATAGCAAATATTTGAATACGAAGTAGTCAGCTGCTCCTTTTCCCACCTGCCAGGCACCTCTGTCCCCACAGCAGGCACACACAAACGTGTGCTGCGCCTTTCACCTGAGGAGGGGAAGAACTTCCCTCTTCAAGCTGTCAGCCCCACATGAGAAAGCAGCAAGGGCTCAGCCTCCCTGCTGAGGTTTCTGGTCCCCAGAAGAGTAGCCCCTTCATAAATTCTTGGGGACCACAGAAACAGCAGGTGAGCTCAGCCCTTGCCATGCAGGAGCATACCATGGAGCAAGGCCAAAATAACACAGAATTAAAACAGCAGTAATGTATGTAAATGTGCAGCAGAGCAAACAGCAGAAGGATTCCCCGCAAGTGCTGTCACCTTCCATCACATCAGCCTGGTCAGAGCTCTCCCAGGCAGCTCCCCCTCCCAGCCTCCCTCCTGCCCCGGTGTAACTAATGACTTCAATTCCCGAGAACCAAGGAGCTCGGCAAATGTTTCCTGGCTCAAAACAGGCTCTGTCACTGCTGCCTGTGAAAGGAAAGAAGCCAGACAAATAGAGAACGAGATCTTCCTGGGAATAGGGATAACCAGTCAGAGGGTAATGCTGCTGAGCCCACACATGGGGCCACTGCTGCACCCCTGCCCAACATGCCTTCACAGGAGGGTAGTCCCTCCCCAGAAGTCACAGGCTGCAGGAATCTCTGGACACATTTGAGAAGGTGAAGACAGCACCTGTCAGCAGGGAACCAGGGCTGATTTAAAGCCTTGTCTGTGAAATTACCAGAGACACTTGCCCCTCCTGTTGCCTCAGGATCCCCAGCAGTCTTCTGCACTGCTTAAATGCTAGGCTGCATCCCACAGAGGACATTTCACACGGTCACGATACAAAGGCAGTCTTGTGGACACCGGAAAGTGGGATGACACATAATAGGCCATCTCCTCCCTCTGCACAGCTCAGTTCCCAAGGGAGCTCAGCAGGAGAATCTCCACACACATCAGCTTAGATCGCACGCCTGCTTCCAGCTTCTCACCATCACCCTCAGTGCAGCAGCAGGGCCAGCAAAGCAGGATGCCAGCACTTTAAATGCCTGTTAAGTGAAGGGTGAAAGGAGCAGCCTCCCCACCGCTAGCAGAGAAGCCAGGTCTAGCAGGAAGCAGCCCACACAGCCTCTGCAAGCTACCACAGCTCCTGCCAAAACACACTAACCCAAAACCTCCAATACTGTGTGCTCATGTAGCTGACTGAGGTGGTCTTTTTTTAAAAGAGAGTTTTTTGCCAATATATTCAAAGCAAGGCAAGCTCATTACATGGAAGTAAGCACATGCCTACAACCCATAGTCACTTCAGACTAGCCTCTGTCTACAGACACAAAAGAGCAGCTGCAGTTCTGCAGGCAGCACCATTTCAAATCCACCTCTCTCCTCAAGACAGATCTGTAACAAACTCCAAACGTGGCTGCTCCAACAAGACATTTGTATGCACGGCAACTGTGCTGCAGTGAGAGGGAGAGGGGGAGAACGCAGCAGGCATATGTTTTGTTTTCTCTTCACATCTGATTATGCTCATTATTAGGCACAAGAGGACAGGTGTATTCTCCAGACAACCTTACAAACTGGATTGCTCCTCTCTGCTGGACAGGTGGCAAGTTTGCCACTTGGGGTCTCCTCCGGTGCAGCTGATCAACTCGCTTACAATCAGAGCAAGGCTGAGTAACCCCAGCTGGAGCCTGACCCCATGCGTTGCTGTGCGGCACACTTCCAGCCAACAGACTGATAAGCTGAGATGGCACGGGAGAGGGGTAGCTGAGAGGGCTCAATAGGAACGCGAGAATGAGGAAGCCAACTTGGCAACACACTGAGAAGACAAGGATAAAACCTCAAGATGCACAGCAGTCTTCTTCACTCACAACTGCCTGATCATAGTTATGTCCCGGGCTAACATGGTCTAGGAAGCAGACACATGCATGCATACGTACACTCCTTCATATGCCACAGACTCACTGAAAGGAGCCTATTTTTCCCACACCCTACATGAAAGCAGGCAAGACAACCAAATGCTTAAAAATAAGCTTCCCTATACCAAAATCTGTCAGAGGGAGTTAATCTCCTTTTTTTCCCCAATTTATGCTATCGTGTTCTGTTACACAAATCCTTGCCATCTGCTTAAGAGAAAAAAAGGACAAATATACTCACAAAAGAAAAAAGTAAGATAGACTCTGCTTCCCACCATTCCCCAGGAAAGCCATTTATCTACATTTGTAGTGGGGCAGGGAAAGCATACATGTGCACTTGCATGCATGCACCCTTCACAAGCCACCTCTCCTCAAAGTTTATGTTTTGTGTAGCTACCTGCATCTCATCTCTGCAGAAAAAAACCCATGCACTAGTAGTGCTGCTCTAATCCCTGAGACTTAACACATCACTTCTGTTTGCCTCTGCGAAGCCTTTATGCCGATAGCATCACCCTGTTTCTAGTGCACCACAATACAGTATTTTACCCTGCCTGTTCACAGATTGGTCCCTGATCACATACATAGCACTTACCTTGCACGTGGGTCTGTCCAAAGCAGGAGACAGAACCCCCACATCCAGTACTTGCTCAGAAAGCCGACTCTGGAAGCCCAAGTCCTAAAGAAGAAAGCCAAAAAAGGATCAGTGTCTGATGAGCATGTGCAGGTTTTGCCAGAGATCCTGAGACTAGGCCAAAATCCTAACACAGCTTGGAATCTACACTCACCATCCCTCTGACAGCAAGCCTTTTGTAGCACTAGACATTTGAACAATTAGAAAGGTTTACAGCACGTAGGAGATGGCTACACTAAGACTCAGGCCCGTGTCCAAGCATAGGTCATAAATGTACTGCAGACAGATGGCAAGTTGAGCTTTCTCTGTTTCCCAAGGTGCAGAGGCACAGGCAGGCAAGGTGGTTTATGCAGAGCTACCTGCTGGGACAATGACAGACAGGGGTGCTCAGTAAATCAGGATTCCCTATGGGCTTGGCCCCCGGGAGCACGCAGCACAGAGGTTCCCTTCACTGATGGTCCTTGAGGAAACTCTCCTTGCAAGGCCACGCAAGGAGTACACGGTGGTATCGCAGGGTGGTGAGCTCTGTCACGCTACCTGTGTGCGCTTCCATGCCACCAAGCACAGCAGGCAGGGGTGACACACAGCACGTCCAAAGCAAGCAGATCTTCCCCCAGCCTCTACTGCTCTCATTTATGATAGTGCTGCAGATTGCCAGAGATTTTTCCTAAGAGTCAGCTCCTGCAAGTTGCCCACAAGCTATTCACTCTCTGAGATAATTCTCCCTCCTGGCAGAGTCTCTAGGGGTCCTTGCACTTGGCTGCACACAGGGAGCATGTGCATGTGTGCACACACATGCCCGCAAGCAAGCACTACAAAAGGTATTGTTTGAGGCTGCAGCCACTTGCCAACACACAGGCTTGTACTAACACCGATAAATAATGATATTCTCAGCCATTCGCTGGCCATGCCGCCTCTGCTCCCACTGGCAGATGGCAATGGCAGTTTCCTGCAGAGATGAAGAGATGCTGATGGGCATCCTCCCCCCTCATCTCAGGCCTACCCTCCCGCATGTTCTCCCTCTGAGACCTGCAGGAACCAGGTCTCCCGGCCATACAGACTCCCCTTAGAAAGAGCCACCGAGTCCCTTAAAGCATAGTTTTTACACTGCTTATTATTTTCCTTTTTGCAATTATCTGAGTACCACCCCAGCTTTAAGTGACCTACTTTTCCAGGGATATTACCTCATCCACAGACAGAACCTGCTAAGTGCAGGATGACATTGCTGGCCTGTGCCACAGCTGTAAGGTCATCGCTTAGCAGTTAAGGAGTCAGGCAATTGGACTGCAAGAGGTGGGCATAGCATTAATGTTCCCAGAGGAACATGAAACCCACACCCAAGGGGCAAGGAGCTTTTAGTGACTCACCATAGGCCGAATCAGCTCACAGTCTGAGTGGTCAGAGACTTGCAAGTCGTCCCCACAGTCACTGGTCTTGGATGCCTTTGAAAGCTAAGAGGAGATATGCATTACAGCCTGTACACATCTTACCCCTGCAGCTTCACCTAGGTGTTTCCAACAAGATGACAACTGATACTGGGAAGACAAATCTGGCCTCTCTATAATGTAGGGAAGAAAAGGTGACTGAACATCACAGGAAAGACAACACTAAGGGTGTGACCCACAAGACAAGCACAAAACACCACTTCACAGGAGGGCAGGGGCAGGAGATGGGACCAGGGAGGTCAAAGAAGTGCTCTTCAAATATCCCTGATAAAAGGCACTTGCTTACTGTCCTCTGTCCCTTCTGCAAGGATCTCTGCAGCTCTTGGAACCCCCCAGCCCACCACACAGAACAGCACCATGGTCTTAAAGGGACTTTAAAAGCACACCTTGCCATGCCTAACCACAGCAAGGACTCCTATGTTCCCAGCCATCCTGAAACAGTACATAACTATTCAACATGAACACCCATGGAGCCCTGCTGACTTCAGCAGAACCACCCAGATGCGTAAAGCATGCAGGTGTTTGTAAAAGCAAAGCTTTCGACGTCAAGTTCTTCAGGACAGAGCATGTTTTCCAAGCTCAGTTTTACAGCTTATCCTTTCTTAAAGGCACTACACATCAATAGAACTAGAAAAATCATCCAAATCAGCAGGAAGGAAGCTAGGTTGGAAAGAGAGAGTTTATCAGATCTCATATTCTAACATTTCCAGAAGACACTGAAGAAGAGTGGATAGCATGCATCTGTCTGGCACCCCAGTTGCAGGAGCCAGGCCATGAACCCATCTGCACCTTGTGACAGTTAATGGTTCTTCTACTGCCAGAGACTGCACAATCAAATACCCAGGTTCAGCTGACTGCAGTCAGCTGTTGGGCCAGTCCTCCTCCCAGAGAGTGCTAGAAAAGCCATGGGCAGACTGGAAGGTACTACGTTCGGCAGACCAGAGCTACAGCTCCGGTGCCAGCCCTGAGGTACCGTCCTTCCCCACTCTGACCTCACACCTCCCCATCGCGTCCTTCCGCAGAGCTGCGGATATCGCAGCTGGCAGCTCACTTTACACTTTTGCCCCATCTCTGCATAAGCTGAGAAAAACAACAGAAGGAGAGAAACAAAGCAGCATGGACAGCTGGGCTTGGTGTGAACTTCATTATAAAACCTGCTTGCTTAGTACAGATGGCAGCACTGAAAGCCGAGACTTATTTCTCCTCCAAGACTCAAAACACGCGTCACAGTTCAGGGTTTTTGCCTGTCGGTTGCTTTGGACAGCACTTTGTGTATGCTTAAAAGAACGATTTCCTTGCTCCATACTAAAGATGCCAATCTGGGAACTCAGAGCACTTGTGCCCCCCCAGGAACACCCTGCTGATTAGGAAGGCACTTACACTGACTTACAGAAAACAAGTAAGCACTCGAAAAGCTTTCCTGAATAAGGGCTTTACAAACCAATGGGAACAGCCACAGCAGCTTCCACACCAAACCCAACCCATGCAGGCAGGTCTCTTACTTTGCCAGCATCCAGCCTGCTGTCTGTTTTCAGATCAGCTGCTGCTTCTTCCCTCATTTCGTTCACGATCTTTTCACCAACAGACACGGTGTCAACAGTAGCAGCCAGACTTGCCAGCTGATCTGCCTCAGCAGCTTCAGCAGCTGGAGATGCAACTCTAGGTTGCCCAGCACCACTGGGCACATCTGTCCCTGCTGCACTCCTTTCCCCCAGAGATCGGGGCAGCTCATCAGCTGCAGAGATGTCACCTTCTACTTCAGCATCTTGCTTGCCCAGTAGTTCATTCCCACCAAGTTTCCCATCGGACTCCTCCTTGTTCTGGCCAGACAGGCTACTGTCAGCATCTCCAGGAAGGACTTGAACTGGAGTCGGAGGGCACACAGCATCAGAATCCAAGGAAGACTCTTGCCCTTCTTCAGCATGTCTTGATTTTAAAGACTCCTTCTAGGCAGCAAGTCAAACACAATTATAGCTACAATGTCCTTTTCCTCCTCTCTGGGAGGATGCAGGGGTCAGAAATAGCACGGGTTGTCCTACAGCAAGCAGCAAAATTGCAAAGCTTTGGGTGACTTCAAGACCAGTTTGATTTCTTTTCATACAGTCCCTTTCAAAGGGAAGGAACTTCATTAAGGTAAATATACTCACTTCTTGGGCTCAGACTTTTTTTTTTCAATCTGTTGCTTTTTTTATTCACAGGGTCTCAGTGGATAAGAGTTAGCAGTGGCTGCTGCAAAGCCCATCAGCCCCTGGGAGCGCCCTACATGCTCTGCATTAGGCCCATTTATGCTTCCACATTGGATCTGTTCCGTGAGAGGGAAATTTGCAAGATACTAATACTGGACATTTAACTTCTGCCTGAAATTATAAGCAGAGGCAAGCAGGCAGGATGCAATCATCCACATTCTGGCAGGATGAACTTGAGGGTGGGCACCAATTTAAGCCACTGCTCTGAGCTTAGAACAGGATGGTGACTAGCTAACACAATAGACTGAGAAATGGCAGAACCCACAGGCCTTGGGAAAAAACAATCCTGAAATAAAGCTTAGTCACCCAAAGGTTCAGCTGCCTCTCCCAGCAGTGGGGAGGCCCACAAAACTCACAATAAAAAGTGCGATAGCCAGGAGGAAGCAGGAAGAGGTTCCCTCATCAGTATGCAAACAAAACTGCTAGCACGTCCTACTTTCTCACTGTTTTATTAATGCTGTGGTGTCTTGTCAAACATTAGCTGCATCCTGTGTACAGCATGTACCATACACAGACCGCATATTTTAACGATGTATTTTTATCAAAGTGCAACTGGAATGCTGTCAGCTTTAAACCCGGAGCTGCAGCAAACTGAAAGAATGTCTCCTAGCACGTCATTTGTCTGAGAGACCTTCTCAGGGCTGAGAGAGCCATCCATCAGACTAGAGAGGAGGACAGAGAAATCTAATCACTGGGTACTTCCAAAAAAACCTGCAGTTCAGAGCCTCACCTGCAAGCTGCTGAGTAATAAATGAAAGCTTATGCCCCCTTTCCAGTTCAGTGCCTGGTTAGCAGAGGTTCACAAACATGCTGCTGAATCACTAGCCAGCCACATGAGGCTCTGCAAAGGCCTTGATAACACCTTTATTCCAGAACCCAGAAAAACGTGTGCAAGTACCATTTCTGTAGTGTTACTCCAGTGAAGGAGTCCTCATTATGCTTCCTTTTATCTGGGGACTAGAGTGTCTGGAAAGTTGTGTGTCCTTTTGGACAGGCTTGCTTTAGAGTTTTCCTGAGGACCTCTCTCCAGGACATCTGACAGTGCTCAAGAAAACACATGCCAAATGAGACCAATCGGGATTCTTATGCTTGGAAAGAGTACACAGATATTTCCCTTCAAGGAGCAGACACACCACAACAGAATATACCGACGTATCCAATAATATTGTGCACACAAAAAGATTTCTCTCCAGGCAAGTTTACCTCAGTTACTAAAATATCCCAGAAGAATTTCTTTAGCTGGTAGAATCATATTTTAAGGACAGATACAGACAAAACTTCTGTTAACTTTACACCTTCACAATCACAAATGCAATTGTCCAGAAGAGGGAACCATGCCAATCAAGAACACAGGTAGAAGAGGAGGGAGGTTTTCCTTGTGCAAAAACAGGCTATGGATTTCAGAGCTACGACAATTCAGTCAGGTTATAATTAGCTTTAGCTGATCTTTTCACAAGCTGTAACACATTTTACCTGCAGCTGAACGACACTAACTGATGTGAAATGTCTGCCTATCAAATCATTACTTCCAGACTTCCGGCACTCAGCATAAGTCTGGAGAAAAGCACATCGATACCAACAGGATCAGGTTTTGGAAAGGCATCTCATCCAGAGATGAACGATCAGGCTGAACAGCAGCCACCACAACTGAATACTACTCATCTCAAGAAACAGGATGACTACATCACCTCTTTGGACTTTAACGTGTTGAACGTGAGAGATGACAACAAAAAATTTCACATTCTTCCTACCTCTAAAAGGAAAAAAAAAGGGAAAAAATCTAATACTGCATACAGAATGCCTTTGAAAGGTGACGTGCTCCCCCCTGGCTCCCTGATTTCAGGCTCTTCTCGGGCACAGAAGTACAGAGAGAGGGTTAGGTTTGCCAGACCTCATCTGAGTAGCATTTGTCCTTGGTTTTTAAGTTTACACCTCTCTCCACGTATGCAATACTTTAACCAGCAAAAGAAACAAACCAAGCAACTATCAGAGCCACACCACAACACTAGAAGCTGCCTACTGCATGCAAAGCTTCAGTGACACCATGCAAGCAGGACCGTGATGTCAGAGCACCACTCATCACCTCTCGCAGGCTGCCAGCCTCCTCTGCAGGACTCCTTCGGTGCTCAAGGTCAGCTTCAGCAACATCAGCTAACTGGCTGCCACAGTTTTCCTCCTCTGCTTTGCTGTTTTCCTGGCAAGGTGGGGTAACACATCCACTAGCAAAAGTCCTCACATCACCTTTGCAAGCTGATTGGGTCACCCATCTGTGACAGGTCATCGCCCTACGTATCACCCCCTGCAGGCACCCCTGGAGCAGAAAGCTCTCCAGCTGAACAGCTTTCCAGCCTCTGCTCAGGAGCTCACAGGCCCACATTCCCAAACATCAAACTGTTTCTGCTCTGCATGCTTTGCTGCTACTGCTTTTCCTGCTGGCCGGCTCAATGAACTTGCTGTTCTACCAGACTCTTCCCAACTCAGGGCTCCCTGTGAGCCATGGCGCACTACAGCACTCCTCAGCCATGCTTCCCCAGCATGGGAGCAAGCAAGGCTATGACCACAGCAACCATTCATCCCCATTTACCAGTCATCCCTGCGCTATTTTATAGATGTCTTTGTTTCCTGGGAACCAGGAGCACTGCTTCCTCCACAGACATCTCCGCAGTAACACACAAGCTGTATTGCGCAATGTTTATTTACAGCAACAGCTCCCTTTCACACATCTCCATCTGGTAAAGAAGCCTTGCATGGTAATTTCCCACCACACAAAAGACCCCCTTGACTCCCAGTGTTTACCCAGAGATTGACCTGGGCAGAAGGCAGAGTACTAAACCTCCCAAGCTGCAAGTGCTGCATCAGGGGATCACTTCTGCTGCCATGGGACCCTCTCCCCAGGCACCCAGAGATGCTTCCAGACCTTTTCCTCCTCTTGCCCCTTCCAGCAGTATCCCAAAGCCCTTTTGTATTTTAGGGCAGTCTCATGTGCCTGCGGCAACTATTCCCTCACAGGAATTCAGAAGGGAAGGAAGCTGGGTTCAGGTGAGAGCTAACCTCACAAGCAGCCAAGCAAGCCAATCTGCCTAGAAGAGGCCCTCTTTCCAAGAGTACATTCTGACTACTACACATAAACCTCACATGTCAACTTCTCCAGCATCTGACTTGGGTTTTGTTTTCAGTGCCTTTTTCCCCAGTTAATTTACTCCTTGCTCCAGAAAAGCCCACTAAGGGGGGGGGGGGGTAGCATTTCTTTCCATCTCTCCTCCCTCTTTCCCAGACGCTCATGCCATCTTCAATGCAGCCTCTGCTCTTACCCAACATCCTTGCATCTCAGCAAGTCACTAAAACCCCAAGCTAATTTTCTTTGAATATAGGTATTCAACTCTGATCCACAGGCTACACAAAGCCAGTTTTTTTCAGCACTTCACCCCATTACTGCTTAGGTTTCCCCCTGTAGGGCTTGCTGTATAAATCCCTTCCTCCTCTCCGTTCTGTAAGGAAGCTGGAGAATGGCTTGGGCCACAGGCTGCGGCTCGCTCATAGGAGTGCTTTTCTACTGCCATCTCATGGAACTACAAAAGAATTATATTTTCCAGTGGGGCACTAATATCTTATCAGGACTAAGATATCACCCAACTGGGTTAACAGAGCCTGGCTGTTCGGCGGCAATGGCCATTTCATAATGGAAATGATAATAGATTCCCAAAGCCCTGCCGTGGCACTGAAATGCCAAGACATCTCTTTGTTCCTGGACACATTAACATTTCAGTGACGAATTGGGGCCTGACAGGCCGCTTGTTCTTTGGAGATGAGAGAGTCGGGCCTTTCTTTTCCACATCCACTTTAGCATAAGCCTTTGCAGTTTCTGCCCAGCACTGTGAATGGGTTCTCCAGCAAAGTACTTTACAGCTTAATTTTCGTATACTGTGAAAAGGATAAGGGAAATGCTGTAAAACACTTTAAAAAGAAATTAATTTGCCTTTCAGATACTGGAACAGAATTTTCAAAGCAGTGAGAAAGGATTAATGTCAGCACAGTTGGGCCAAATCACCAGAGCTGCTTGCAACGCACTTCCCATTGTGCCCTTGTCATCTTAAGCCTGATCACCGCTAAGAAAGCGCTGGCAGAGAGCGCACATCCACATGGAAAGCTAAATGTCTGCACAAAGCCATGTGTGTACTGAACTCGTTGCTGATGCTCCATGTCAAAGCCATGGAATTTATCAGCAGTGCAAGACAAAAGAAAACAGGTTTTAGGTGGCCATGTGTGGTCCACATGGAAGCTTCTAAGATTCTTGTGGAACTGGATGACAGTGCAAGAATGGCATTTCCAGAGTGCGTTCCCTCTCCTCTCCCCAGTGCCACCATTGCAACTTCAGCTGAGAATGAGCCTTCTTTCCACACTCACTGAAAAAAGTAATGCGGAAGCAAATGGTGCCTCTTCCTCAACAAGCCTTCCTCCCACAGCAAGAATGGTGGCACCTCTCTGATCTGAGACCCCCTCCTTTCTGCTGCTCCTTGGAAGAGCTGGCTTCCAGCTTGCCTGTCACACCTACATGGCTTTTGGCTTCTCCACTTTAGAATGAAACAAAGCTCTACCCTGTGCAAAGATGCTGTCTTCTCCAATCCCACCTACCAAACCACAAGCATTCTCCTTCAAGCACAAACTTGCCTTTGATACCCACACCACTGTCCCCTGTGGACCACATCTGGCTTCTCAGACACTCCCCCCAGCCCTTCCTCTCCATCAGTCTGCTCCAGGTTGTTCCTGCTTGTAAGTGATACGCGAAACTCGCCCCTTTGGCACAACTCCTGCACTCTCACTCCCCAGCCCAGGCACTGGCTGGGCAGTGCCACAGCTCCTCTTCTGCCCGTCTCGCATCACCCACATTCTTACCTCAGAGTCAAAGCTGCCTCCCAGGGCGCTGACATCCACATGCAGGTTTTTGAACAGTCTTGCTGTCCCATGGAGACTCTAAAGGTATTAAAAAAGGAGATGACCAACACTGAGTTCTGACCCCTGCAATCCCACAGGCCACACAGGAGGAACTGGGGGGTCCTAATCAGTGAAATACAGCAGCAGACCTATAGCAATATGCCAAGGCAATAAGCCCATAGCCAATTCGTTTTGGAAATACATCGTGGCAGACACTGATTTATAGGGAGTACAAGGAGAAAACAGGATTAGATACTTTTTGGTGATCAAAAAAACACAGAGGAAGTGCAGCACAAATTAAGGCCCAGAATTAAATGGAACAGCCGCAGGCCATCATCAGCCGTTACCAACAGAGCATCACAGTTTTTCATTCCTTCAGGGTTCATGCACTACAGTTACCAACACGCATTAAGAGCTGAGGCACACAACCTACCTCATTCTCGCTTTCTCCCTCTTCGTTTCTCCCTTTATCTGGAGCCACCGTGTTCAAGGAACTCTTCTCTTCACAGACCAAGCCCAGCAACTTCTTGGTCTGGCTTATGGGTTTACAGGTCTCTGCAGGCTGTCAAGTCAGAAAAAAGGGGAAGCAAGAGGACAGCTGAAGTGAAAGGGGAGATACAAACCCACTGAGACACTGGCCAGCAGCAGGAAAGCTGCTCAGTTCTGAGAAGGTGCTCAGGATTACACTGCTACCCTTGTTCTGGTAGAGCCACGTCCAGGTGGGAGATGTATTCTTTATGAGGCACACTTTCCCTTACACCAAAGGGGCTCCTGTCCTTGAGAAGCACATCTGCAAAACCTGCTTGTGCCTAAAACACTGATTCAGCCAAGAACATAATAAAACAAGATGTTTGAAATGGCCAGTGACAAGACTTAACTCAGCAAGAAGAAAACATTCAGTGGAGGTGTTGATTTGTATGATGTTTTGCAGATATATTGTTTTGTTTTCCTTTAAAAGATCAATTCGTTACCACTTAACACATCTGTTCTGTTGACCCAAAGGTAACATTTGGTAAATAATCATTCAACATGATTGTCAGTCTTGCATTCATCCAGAAAATTGTTCTTTTAATTTTTTTATTCTCAGCAAATAGTTGGGTGAAAACATTATTTATTAGATTCCATTATCTGTAGTGTATGTCATGCTTCATTTGGACACAAATCAAAGTTCTACTAAAATGAACTTAACAGACTTTTTCCCCCAACAGTAACTGAAACAATTCTTTCTTTAAATCTGCTACACATAACAGAAGAAAGCTCACCACAAGTTTAGCACTGGGCTCCCTAGAAATAGCAAAAGAAAAAAAAATATAGTGAAAGACAGAGTAGGAAAGTGGTTTTTTTAACAGACAAAAAAGTATTTCAAAACTGACAAGAGATCACCAATATCGTCATTTAAGTTTTTAAGTATCACCATGCCTGTGACCTTTTGCAGAGCGTGCTTGCCAGGGCACGTTCCCAGAGAAGACAGAGCCTTACCTGAGGCCCCACTTTGGCCACAAGACTGGAGTCCACGGAGCTCCCCACATCCGAGTTCAGCGACCCGCGAAGGATGCCAGCCGGAGACGCTGCAAGGCCACGCAGTGGAGCAAGGTTCCCCAGGGGCGCCTGGATGGGTGTTAGCAGGGTGCCTGAGGACTGGAGCATGCAGAAGGGACTCACTGAGAGGACAGCATGGGTGCACAGCTTACACTCCATATCTCAGAAAGGGAGAAAGCCCTCCCCTGTGCAAACACTGGCTGCTGATACTAAACCCACCACCACTGAAAAACTGCTTGTGAGACCCCACACCCGGCCATCACCAGCACACAAGAGATGTAAGGAATAGCTGTTTGATTTACTCACACATGTTGCCTTCCAAAGGCCCATCTGAATATGACAATTTACAGCAGCAAGGCAATTAAAAAAAATAAATGGGCATTACTCCAAAACTGATGCGAGAGAACAACAGCCACACTAGCTCACACATCTCTATGTACCCACACTCGGCACCCTCTAGGAGAGGCTCCTACCCAACATCACGCACACAAGGTAAACTGGGCAGCTTTGCCACTGTTGCCCTGCTACTCTGCACATCGTGAAACGAGTGAAGTAGAAACCACTCTGATGGCAAGAAGCCTCCTACTCTTCACAAGCTGCAACTAACACCTCTTTTTAGACCAAGATCCCGGATGCTTCTTCACCTTACACCAGTGGAAAAGTTACAGGCTGAGGAAAGCAGCTCTGCCGCAGCACATCCGTGAGAAGCTCCTGAAAGCATCTCCCCCTTTCAAAGCACTGCAAGAGCCCTGGGAGCCATCCAACATCCTCACCTCTGAGCAACACATGCTTGACATATCAAGTTATCTTCACCCAGAAATGTGACCATTCCCTTCGACTTTGTGGAATTCCCCACCCAAGTAGTCTCACCCTGCAATACGCTGCACAGGTGAAGCTAGAAGGAAAACATGCTAGGATTTCCTCTGTAGTGTGCCAGTACAGCCAAGTGCTGTTGCTTCAGCAGAGCACACATGCATTCAGAAATCACAGTTCCTGTACTCTGTACCCACACAAGATTACAGACCGAGAACAGAGTTAATTCGCTCGCACGCTGAGGGATGGGGAGAGGGAAGTGAATACGCACTGATCCTTCTTCCACCTAGTCACTGCCACAGCAACAGTAACAAAATAAATCACACGTGCTCAGCTTAACTAATTGTTTTCTACAGATGGCCATTAGCTACATGTATGGAACAGAGGATGTTAGCTGTCCTTCAGCAAAGACAAACACACTTCCATGGGGCTAATTAAAACTTTCAGGATAATCTGCAGTTTATCTGATATTTATAGTCATAGTTCTTATCAGCTAACTGAGCACTACCACATGCTGGTAATTAGAAACCTGAGCTAGCGATTTGGTGGAGCCGCAGCTGGGTACTAGCAACAGTAGAGCCAAGCAATTCATTAACATTACACACAGTGACCTTTCAGCTCTTTTTGTTGTTTTGGGGTTTTTTTGTTCAGAACAGGAGATTTGGTAAGTTCTTATTAAATTGAGGCAATTACTCATGGATGAAGACAAGCCAACCTGGAACATTCTTCCCAGTGAAGGGCAGGATCCTGCTACAGACAACAGAGAGAAAGAGTTTGGGCAAAATAGCACAAAATGGTCCAGCTATTCACAGGGGAAGAAGGAGAAAATCCCATTTATAGATGGGCCCGTCACACCTGTAAGCTGCCTCAGTGTCCTAAGACCACAGTGGCAGCAGTCCAAGGACTAAATTGTGCTCAGACAAGTCATTACTGCACCCACATGCAAAACAACAGTCCATAACCAGTGGGAATAATCTTTCTCTTGTTTGAGAAAGCTAATTCATTCAAACTTTTTCCTGTTTTTCTTTCATTTAAGAGCGAAGAGATTCCATTTGTCAAGCTACTGGACATGGATGCAGCAGAGCTGGCTGTGACTTATGGTTTCTGTATCACCATAACCAACTCAATCGCTCTGAGACTCGAGATTCAGCAAGCAAAATTAAGCTAAAAATAGAATCATAGAATCATTTAGGTTGGAAAAGACCTTCAAGATCATCAAGTCCAACCATTAACCATGCCCACTAAACCATGTCCTGAAGCACCCTGTCCACTCGCTTTTTGAATGTCTCCAGGGATGGTGACTCAACCACTTCCCTGGGCAGCCCATTCCAATGTTTGACAACCCTCTCAGTAAAAAAATTTTTCCTAATATCTAACCTAAATCTCCCTTGCCTCAACTTGAGGCCATTTCCTCTTGTCCTATCTCCAGCCACCTGACAGAAGAGACCAACACCCACCTCACTACAACCCCCTTTCAGGTAGTTGTAGAGAGCGATAAGGTCTCCCCTCAGCCTCCTCTTTTCCAGACTAAACAGCCCCAGTTCCCTCAGCCGCTCCTTGTAAGACTTGTGCTCCAGACCCCTCACCAACTTGGTTGCCCTCCTCTTAACACGCTCCAGCAACTCAATGTCTTTCCTGTAGTGAGGGGCCCAAAACTGAACACAGTACTCGAGGTGCGGCCTCACCAGTGCCGAGTACAAGGGAACAACCACCTCCCTGTTTCTGCTGGCCACACTATTTCTGATACAGGCTAGGATGTGATCGGCCTTCTCGGCCACCTGGGCACACTGCTGGCTCATATTCAGCCAGCTGTCAACCAGCACCCCCAGGTCTTTCTCTGCCGTGCAGCTTTCCAGCCACTCTTCCCGAAGCCTGTAGCGCTGCATGGGGTTGCCATGATCGAAGTGAAGGACCCGGCACTTGGCCTTATTGAACTTCATACAATTGGCCTCAGCCCATTGATCCAGCCTGTCCAGATCTCCTTGTAGAGCCTCCCTACCCTCAAGCAGATCAACCCTGCCTCCCAACTTGTTGTCGTCTGCAAACTTGCTGAGGGTGCACTCAATCCCCTCATCCAAATCATCAATAAAGATATTAAACAGAACAGGGCCCAACACCGAGCCCTGGGGAACAGCACTTGTGACCTGCTGCCAACTGGATTTCACCCCATTCACCACTACCCTCCGGGCTCGGCCATCCAGCCAGTTTTTCACCCAGTGAAGAGTGCACTTATCCAGGCCACGAGACGCCAGTTTCTCAAGGAGTATACCATGAGAGACAGTGTCAAAGGCCTTGCTGAAGTCGAGGTAGATAATATCCACAGCCTTTCCCTCACCCACTATAATAGCTGAAATAGCTGAATAAGCCATTGCCCCTCAATTTAGATTGTGGGATCTCCAGGGAAAAGACTAACTTTGTAGCGCGCTTACTACAAAGAGTCTTAGAGCCAAAATTAAAGATGATTTTGCATTCTATGTTGCTATCCCACTTGATTTACTGCCCATCACCTGTTTTTGACTTCAGAAGGCACTTCATGTCCTTGCAAAACTAAAAAAAGGCATGAGTTGTGCAGTGTTTGCCACGCAAGGAAGATGACAAACAACGGCTTTTTCAAGCTACCCCCAAGCTTTAGGAAAGCCACTATAACTAATGCCACATCTGCTTCCGTGACCTCCAACAGGAAGTTTTTTGCCCCTTTTCTCCTGAAAATTAGCTTGGAAGCAAGTTTTCACACTCCCAATTCTCCAGAAATGTTTACAACGGAAGGGCCATCACAAAGGACTTCATCCTACCTCATTCCCACCTGCTCCTTCACCAACATCTATTTTGCTGCAACTCCCCGCAGTTTCTCTGGTTTGGGTCACCGCCACTTTCACATGCTGACAGAGCCTGTTGCTCCCCTGGCACTCAACCCACACTCCAGAAGCTTGATCTGTCCTCCCATTTCCTCCCTTTGCTTCTCTTTGCACTCCAGCACCATTAGACTTCTGGGCAGTGCGTTTCCCACAAAAATCCACCATAACACTGACATGGTCAGGTTCTGGTCTGTAGCACCATTTCATATCCTCAGTGCTACGCTCCCTCTCTGGCTTCTGGGCAGGACTTGGTGACTGAGCCGAGGATGACCCCAGGAGGGGACGAGACAACAGAGGCTCTTCTGCAATGGAGCATGCGTCCTTCCGTCTCCCAGACTCATGGTGCGGACAGAAGCGGTGGCTCACTCCCAGTGCCTGTGGTGCATGATCATTAAGAGAACTGCCCGAATCACTGCTAGCACACTCTGATATCAAACCACTGCCTTCGTCATTTCTCCAGCTATCTTTAGCAGCTGAAAAGACACATTTTGATGTGGGGTCCATTGCAGAATGAAGTTCCACATCAATTCCTCTACTTACACTACCCTGCTTCCAAGGGGTAGATGCATCTGTGGTATCTTGAGGGACTGTGGAGTTATGCTCTAGCATACCATTGCTACTGGCTACTTCCATCAGCTCCATCTGCTTTGAACCCTTTCTCTCAGGTCTGCCAACTGTCTCATTGCTCTTGTACACACTGATGGCTTGACCCAAAGCCTCATCTCTAACTTTCCTCTTACTTCCACTCTCAGATAACTTGCTGCGGGATCTCAGCTCTTCCTGAGCACATGGAATATCAACTGTCTCCTGCAAACCCCAGTCATATGTGAGACTGGCATCAAAAAGAGTCATTTCATTGTTCCAGCGGTAAAAGCTTTCTTCTTCTCTGGCTTGCAATATGCCTGGGCTTCTTTCCACATCCCCATCTGGTCCTGTAGATTTCTCTCTGACTGAGAGGTGATGATCAGGCTTATGGACACACCCATCACATCCTTCATCTTCTGTTTTTCTTTCAGCTCTTCACCCTCAAAAAGTAGGATTTTGTCTTCAAAGGCCTCTAGCAGAGTTTTGACATTCTGAAAGTCTTATGAATAGGATTTCTTTGACACACACAAAGGTTGCACTGGTGGCCTAACCTCTAAATCATCAGACAGCAAGTCAGAGGAGTCAAGACAAAGCTTTTCTTGCGTTTCTAAAGGCATATAGTGGTCCTGGTGGATGCCTACACCAAAGCTGCTAAAAGAGGGGTCTTCTAAAATTTTCTCCACATCATGTAAGGTCTGGCATGGTCTGCTGAGCTTGGGAGCAAGCAAGGGATGCAGTTTGTTTGGCCACGTGCCTGCAAATAGCCTCCTTGAATCACTTATGTCTGATGGTCTCCCTCTGCCTTCATCAAGGCAGCCTTCATCCCTAATCTGGCTATCTGGATCTGGCTCAGGACTCTCCTGCCCACAGGGCAGGATGGCAGAAGGCATTTGACAAAAGGATGTTGAAGGAAGAATCCCTGGCTGTGTTTCCTAAGTAGATAAATATTAGCAAATAACTAAGACATATCGCATATTACTATATACAGCCTTATCTATCTAAAGTACAGTTATATACTTAATACACAATTGATACATAAATAGGTGTGTACATTTTTGAGCACTTGCAAGTACACGTACACATAGAAAAGAAAGCGCTCAACTGAAAGCTTGAGGCTTTCTGAGTTGAAGAGGTCTATGCCTTGAGCAACAACACAAGGCACCATCTTTCCCCAAGGAGACTGATCTCACTACCAGCAAACGGAAGATAGGGATGATCTGCTGTCACTCGGGATATAAGGGGAATTCAGTTACACTTGGAGATATCAACAGCAAAGCAGACTAACCTCACATGTCTAAACCTGCATTTGCTGCCTGTATATCATAGCAACACATGCACAGACACCGCATAAACACCGTTTGTTGTCCTCTCCAAAGAAAGAAATCTTTCCAGCACTCCAGATATCTGCTGCCAAGAATAGCACCAGCATCCTTGGCTGGTACCATACCCTTCTCAGCAAGACCATCACAGGGCTGTGGCACCCCTGCTCCCAGTGGGTCCTTCTAAACCAAAACTTCCCAACTGTCATGGGTTTGTGCCCCCACTTCTGTTGTATTTTCATCAAACTCACAAACCTGCTGGACAGGATCCCTTGTCAGGGGATTGCTGTTCCAATCCCCAAGCAGCAACGGCAGAGGATCACCCTCTAGGTCACAGCCACTTGTTCATCCTCCACCCAGCCCTCCCCAGAAGCACCACAAGCAGAGCCTACTCACGGTGGGTTGCTTCAGTGACTGCTTCTCCTTCTTGTCTTTCTTTTTCTTCTTGTCTTTCTTTTTCATGCTGCCACGTGCCAGCAGTTTCTCTCGCTCCTGAATGACAAGCTCTCTGTAGTGATCATCACAGGGGTGGTCCCACATGGACTGGCCATTAGCAAAATTGAAGTAATAGATATCACCAGTGATATCTTGGCTATATGGGAAAAACAGCATGAAAAGGTGAAAGAGCACATATAAACATAGCTGCATGTACCAGGACATCTTACTGGGTCATGTGACCACCTTATGGTCAGCGAAGAGGGGTACAACGTTTCCAAGAGTCCAAAGACGCATCAGTGTGGGGAAGCAGCTCTCCCAGAGATCACTCGCATCCTTATCCAATTTCCCAAACACTCCTTCCCCTTTTTCTGCCACCCCACAAAGAGCTGAGCTCCCCCATCCATAGGAAGTACCTCTGTTGTGACATCTTCCCCCCCTCACCAGCTGGTACCCTGCTCTGCCACCAATGTGGGCAGCACCCAGCAGGGGAAGGGCAGGAGAGGCCAGGAATCTCACAGGACAGCTGCCGACAGAGCTCTCACCAGGGCTTCCACTCGGGTGGTAACGGGGCCACGATGCCCTCCCTGGCCAGCCATATCAGCTCTGGCTCCTTCTCAGGGTCAATCCCGATCTCCCGTGCAAAATCCTGGATTTCTAGGAAAACAGAAGAGGAATCCATGGAGATGGCCTACACCAGGCACTATGCAATAAAGCCAGCCTCCTCAGCTAAAGCAATGGGGACACTGGGAAATCCTGATCCCGAAACAAAGCTGCTAAAAGCTGTCAGCACGGCCCCATGTGTCAGTGAGCATGTCCTACCAGGCTGGTAAAGCTGGAAGACAGACTGCAAAACAGTATTTATCTTTGCAACCAGAAAGCTAACTTTTCAGCTCTGTCTTCTATGAAATCCCATTTATTCTAGCCTCTCCACCCATGCTCTCCCTGATTCCCGTTTTCTTAAAACGCCTCAGAGTGACCTGCATGCTTGAATCCCTTATCACTGCTCCTGGTAGGACAGGCATCAGTTACCTTGCTCACTGGGAATGTACGTCTCATCATAATCTTCTTCAAGGATGAGCTGGTCACCAATGCGCACCATAGCTCCTGCCATGGCTCCCTGCACCTGGCGGCATGAAGGAAGCAACACAAAAATCACATCGATCAACTGCACTTGGAAATAAAGCTTCCTCATCATGCAGTGCATAGCAGAGCCCCGCAGGAAACTCAGCGCCGGGGCTGCAGAGGGGAACAAGGTGCATCAGGGCTGCCCAGCATGGTGCAGATGGGAAGGGCAAAAAGCAAAAGCAGCCAGAACCGATGGATTCTGGTAAAGGTGGGAGGACACAGCTAAAAGCGCTAGGCAGCAGGCTGCAGCTCAAAGTGCATTAACAGCACAAAGGGAGGAGAAGAAATACTACATTATTTACAAGCATATTTCCCCACCTCCCCTACAAAAGGCAGGGGCTGCTAGCACTTAGTTCTGTTGTACAATTTATTAATTCACAAGGAGATTGAGCCCAGCTGCTTGGCTGGGCACAGCTGGGAGCTCTCCACTTTACAGTCCAACACCTGCCCTGAGGCCAAGGGGGAAGAAGCTGCCCTGGTCTCACCACCCACAACCCGAGCCACCCCAAAGAAAGCAATATGTGCAACAGGGCAGAGCTCTCTGCTCTGCTTACAGGGCTCTTTCACCGAGGTGCACGCAGCAAAACCAAGTCCAAGACCTTCCACACACACTTCACAGGGGGTGCAGAAACAGGGAGCAGAGCTGAAGCGGCACAGAAGTTGCAAACAGACCCCCAGCCCAGCCTTTCAAGCTTCTACAGAGAAGGTGAGCACTCCCTTCAGGCACTTTTTTGACAGGCAAAAAATAAGCTGAAATGAGAATGGAAAGAAAGGGAAAGAAAGCAAGCAGTTTTCCCAGAGCACAGCACAGCTTTTCAGGACGAGTCCCTGGGCTGAATCAGCACTGCCTAGGGACAAGGCAGCTTCTCACCTTCCCAGAGGACATTTCAGAAGCTGTAAAAGGATGCTAATATAACATGTCCCACCCCTGGAGCATTGCTTCACTATTTAACTCGAAGACTGAAGGCAACCATTTAGTCCCACCACAGCTGGGCCCTTGTGACCCATCCACCACAGGTGTGGGCCGTTCTAAGTTACCTTCCCCACCCCAAACACCCCCAGCTGTGGCTCTGCACAGCCACAGTTGGCCAGCATTAGTCTCACACAGCTGCATGGGGAGCCAGGCTAGGCCAGGCAGCCGAGCAGGCTCCCTGCAGCCACCCACATGCCAGCACCAACACAAGCAGAAGGGTGGCCATGAAGACAAGGCAGAAGCAAGGACAGGACAGTCCCTTCCAGCCCCACCACTCAATCCCAGAGGGGAACAACAAGGTCAGACCAGCTTTTACCCCAAGAGCCCCAACATGCTGGGTGCTTAAAGCACGCCCCTGCTTTCCTCATGAGATGTAAGGGCCGAGGTGCCTGCCAGGGGACAGGAGCCATCCCAGCAGCACGACCACACCAAGGATGATCGCCTGGAGTGAGATCGCCACACCACTGCCCATGGCTGAGCCTTCCCTGCCCTCCTCACCTTCCGCTGTCCTCAGGCCGCTCCCTATTTATAACCCTGACGTAAAACGAGCCTCCGCAGCAGCTTTGCAGGCAAGACGCCGTCGGGCCGCTCCCCCTCACCCCTTACCCAAGCAGCCGGACGCGGGCAACCGACCCGAGGCCTTCCCTTCTTCTTTCCCACCGCCGCAGCCTTGCTTCAACCCCTTGGCCTCGCCCCGCTCGCTCTTCTCCCCACC